CTGAACTGGGAATCTGAGCTCGATCGCTGTGGGGTGAAACCAGCTCGGGCTCGGGTGTGTTTTTCCAGTCCTTCCAGCTTGTTCCAGGTTGGATCGGTGTGTGGGGTGCAGTTGGAAGCAGCAGCTCGAGCTCTCTGTGTTGACAGGGAAATGTAAGAGGATATTTCTATAGTTTGGCTTGTTTTGATTGTGCTTCTGCGCTGCCCTACGCTTTGGAGGAGCTGTGGTTTTCCCCTTCCATTGTCCTGGCTGAGCACCCCTAGGATCCCAGCAAATCCCCAGTGCAGAACTGCTGTTCTGAGGAGGGTTCAGATGCCGTTTTGAAGACAGTAAGGTGTTTGCTGTGACTCCAAACATCCCAGCCAGGCTGGGTCTCACCTCTGTGCAGGTTGTGTGTGGTGCAGGGATGGGAGCCAAGGAAAAACCCCTCCATTCAAATTGGTTATAAACATTAGATATTTATTTCTGATGGCTCTGGAAAGTAATTAGAATTGGGCTAAGGAGACTACATGGTGAGTGAATCTTGGAATATTGTGGTGAAAATCCTTTTTAAAAATGGAAAATAATTTTGTTTTGAGGAAACAAGAAAACTGATACCAGCATTTAAAGATGGGAGTCTTAACACTCCAGASAGAAGGGTTGATTCCCTTTTGAAGGTGCTGTAAACGGACTCTGATTCATCTTGTGCCTGTTTTCATCCTGCTGTAGATGTGTGGCTCCTTCCAGAGAAACATGGTGATTTTTACTGGCTTTTGTCCAGCTTACACTCTTAAAAATAGGTGTTTGTACAGCTCTCAGTGGTGAAGCCGTCAGCAGCGGTTGGTGTGTCCAGCTCTGGGAGCTCCAGGGACACTGGGGACCWGCTGGAGAGAAGCCAAGAGCAGCACGGAGCTCGGTCAAGGATCCAGAGGTCCCGAGGGGCAGGGGGAGATAAAGAACTGCAATTACAGAGCTTCTCATTTTTTCTCTAGATTAGACATGGTTTTAATATTGGAAGAGTTTTCTGTGTCTCCAGAGTACAACAACTATCAGGGAGTTCTCTGTGTCTCCAGGGTACAATTAAGAAAGAAAGAGGTTTAAGTAGTAGCGTGGAAGACTCACACTGGACCTTGAACAACTCATTGACGGGCACCAAGCATAATGACAGAAAATGAAATTATGAATATTATAATGAAGTTATTCATTCCAGGCTCCCTTCTGCTCCCTGTTTGTGTGAGTGATGTCTGGAAGTCAGTTTGTGCTGTTTCCAGAGAGATGCAGGAGGTGCCCAGCTGTTTCCCAGGCAGTGTGGAAGCAGCAGGGATGTTGGAGCCTCACTTTCCTGGGAGCTGGGAATGGATGCATGCCATGGGTTTGAAGTCCTGGGGGATCTGGCAGACTGTCATAGACCAATGTCACGGGATCCTGGAACAGCTTGGATGGGGAAGGGGCCTTAAAACTTATTCCATTCCATSCCCTGACATGGGCAGGGACCCCTTCCACTATCCCAGGTCACTCCAAGCCCYGTCCAACCTGGCCTTGGGCATTTCCAGCTGCTCTGGGCAACCTGGGCCAGGRCCTCCCCACCCTCCCAGGGAAGGATTTCTTCCACTGTTCCGTCTAACCCTACCCTCTGGCAGTGGGAAGCCATTCCCCCTTGTTCAAAGTAATTTGGGTAGACTGTAATGGACACCTTGATGTCACCATAGTTAATTAGAAATTCATAGTTCAGAAGTAAACTGAGCTGTTCTCTTTTAACTGTATTAATGTTCGTTTATCTCTAACATTGTGCATTGTTTAGGTAGTTCCTTTTTCAGTAAGCCACACATTCCTTATATTAAAATGGGATGTCCCAAAGCCGGGTTGTTTCTTGTCTATAAAACCTCTTTGTAAGGTAGTTTGGAGGGTTTCTGGCATCTGCATGATRAAGGATGCTGACCCTGAGCTTGGCAGCTGTGCTGCCCAAGGACCCATCCCRGGGTGTTGTTCATATGCAGGTCAGTTTATTGACCTGTGGGAGCTCTGGTGGTTCTGACGCCTCTGCCCCTCTGAGAAGGCTGCACAGGTTGATTTTTTGGGAGGCAGGGAGGAGGGTGTTGAGTTAGAGGGGATCAGGGCACAGGGTCAGCACTTGGAGCTCCAGGGGCAGGGCAGTAGCTGGGACTCCTGGCACCATGGAGATGGCCACATCCCTGGAGCTGGTGCGGCTCYGAGGGCTTGGACTGATGCCCAGGGAGCGTCTGTAGGGCGAGAGCTCGGGGCAGAGCGTGGGATCCCGTGGTTCCCTTCCCTGAATATCSCTGAGCAGGGCCCAGGCTGGTCGCTGCAGCTGCTCGGGAGAGGCAGTTGTTCCATCCGGCYGTGTCCGGCTGGACACCACCTGCCTGCCCTCCCAGCCAGGGGCTGCACTGCGTTTGTAGCTCTCTGCCGCCTGGCTCTGCTGGCCTTGGCGAGAATTTCCTCTGTGCCTGACTCGGATTTAATCCAGGGAGGGTTCTTTCTCTGCGGCTCTTTTGTGTTCTCACCTTTGAAAAGAAACAAGGGTTGTAACCCAAATCAAAGCATTTTAGCGTGGGGTTTCCTTTCGCTCTTATGCAGTGATCTGAGCTGAAATGTCCTTTGTCTTGGGGGAAGGTGTGTGCATTAAGGCCACACCACAGAGTGGGAGGTGGTTATTTGAGGTCAATGCCCACATCAAAGCCGGGTGTGGATCTCTCCCCCACCCCCGGCAGTGACAAAGGCTTTCAGGGCAGCTGCAGTGCAGGTCTGGCTGCAGAAATTATTTCCTCTGCTGCTYGTGCTCTGGTTTTTGACCACATGTTTTTTGCTTAAGGATATGGGGGTGTTTTTGTGTTTCTAATTGTGGTGGAAATGTTGGAAAACTCTGTGGTGTCAATGGGGCTTTGGCATTTCAGCACATGAACAAAATCCTCTTGCTGAACAGGGCATCATTCTGTCCTCTGGAATTCACTGCTGAAAAACCTTTATTTGCTGCAGAATCATTTTGTGTTGACGAGGGGGAAACCTGGAAATCTGTTGGGACTTGTGGTCCCTCAGACCCACTGTGAGTTGATCAGGAAATTGTCTGCTTGGTTTTTCTGCTTAAAGACTCATTTGTGCTGCTCATTGGGATGCAGAAATGGTGGAGAGGGGTCTTTGGCTTCTTTTTGAAGGGTTTTCCCCCTTATTTTTCAGGGAAACCTCAGGCAAGTGTTGTGGGTTATTCAAACCAAGACAGCAAGGTAATGGGCTTCTCATTACAAAGGATCTGCAGGATAGTGGCAGTGCAAAGCAGGATGAGGAGYTCTGGTGTTGTCTTCCTTTATAGCTTCTAGCTGTGAATGCGTTCTGCAAGACGTAAAGGTGGGAGCTGTGAGGAAAGGAATGATTGCCCAAAAAAGTTAACGTCTAAGAATAGGCTTTGCAAGGTRTATTCTCATGTAATTTTCTCTTTTCTCCCAGGGAAAATATCTGAAAAAAAAGGAGTAAGTCAATACAATGATTCTACTTCTTCTGGATTTGTTTTTTTTTTGGAGGAGGTTCATAAAATCCCAGAATGGTTTGGGCTGGAAGGGACTTGAAGGATCATCCAGTGCCACCCYTGGCCATGGGCARGGACACCTCCCACTGTCCCAGGSTGCTCCAAGYCTCAATGTCCAGCCTGACCTTGGACACTGCCAGGGATCCAGGAGCAGCCACAGCTGCTCTGGGCACCCTGTGCCAGGGCCTGCCCACCCTCCCAGGGARCAATTCCTTCCCARTATCCCATTCATYCCTGCCCTCTGGCAGTGGGAAGTCATTCCCTGTGTCCTGGCCCTCAATCCCTCATCCAAAGTCCTGTGCAGAGCCAGGAGTTGGACTCAGTGATCTTTGTGGATCCTTTCCAACTCAGGATATTCTGTGATTCTGATATAATTAAAACATTAATTCCTGGGGGAGGGAAAAGGGCAAAGAAAAATGCAGCTTTGAAATTTTAGTCTTTCGTTCTTTCCAGGCTCGTGTTTCTGGTTCAGGATTTATACACAGGGCAGGACACCCGGGAGCCTCACGGGAATTTGTGTCTTTTGAGCTGGGAAGATTTAATTTCTCAGATGTGCCTCTGCTCCTGAGAAAGTGCTGGAAGAACTCACATCTCAGGGTGGTCAGCCATTGTGAAAWTGTAATTGTTTCCATTTACTCAATGTTTTTGTGGTGCCTTTGGCTTTGGAGCTGGTGCTTTGCAAGRCTCAGTTAGGTTTGACTGGCATTTGACACCACAGCTTTAAAACTTCGAGGGTTCTGGGTCACCAAATAATTTTTTCTTAAGGGGCTTTAGAAGAATCTTGTTTGAGGGAAGAGCAAAGGCTGAGAGTTACCCAGCTGAGAGACTGAGGTAACTCAAATTGCTCCGTGTTCTACCTGCAGAAGTGATGTTTGTTCTCCTCTCGGAAGTTGTCTGGCACAGCGAGGAGGTGACATCCAGTGAGTGAATACTGCAGTATCAGGAGTGACAAAAACTCAGCACCGTGGGAGGGGTTTAATATTCCATGCTGTGATTTTACATTCGCATTTTATTTGAGGTAGAACCTTGGGAGCTAAAACATCACAAGCTCATTTGTGTGGCTCAGCTTTTCCCTCTGTACAGGACATCCTATTTATACCAAAGGGGTGCTCTGAGGATTCATTAGGAGTTGATTACAGCGGAAGGCTGTAAAGTTACTGCAGAAAGCTCTGTRTGTGTGGGCAGAATGAGCCTGTTCCTTTATTAGGAACTGAGATCAGCTTGGAGTGGTTAATCCATGTCTGTAACCCAGCCCTGAGGGACTGGGCATGAGCCACAGGTGAGTGCTGCATTTTTAACCTAAAGCTAAAATGTTTGTGCTTGGTGTTTCTCCTGTGCAAACTCCCCTCCACGCCTTCCAGCCACGCAGGGATCCCAAAACCTCAGAACTCTGCTCTCCAGRTGCTGAAGGGAGCTGGGCTGTCAACAACCCAACCTTCACTCCGAATTTCCCTCTCCTCAAATGAATGTGTACTTTTTGTCTTGCAGTACGTTCAAGCAGATGCTCCTACCAACAAAACACTGGCTGGGCTGGTGGTGCAGCTGCTGCAATTCCAGGAAGATGCCTTTGGAAAACATGTCACCAATCCTGCCTTCACAAAGCTTCCTGTGAGTATTGGGCTTCTCACTCTGCTGTCACAGCTCCGTATCCTGCTGTTCCTGTGGTGTTGGTGCTGCTGGAGCATGTCCAGGGCATTGGGACATCCCTGCTCAGCCCAGGCTCTTCCTGATGCACACTCTGGAAGAGCTGGAATAGCTCACTACCCCTTAAAAGCAGATTTTCAGTGTAATACAGCTTAGTCTCACTAAAAATATTTCCATAATGCTGTGGGAAKGTTTTAATTTCTACTAAAATTCAGTGTAATTCATCAGTATTAAGTCAAATCTGGACTTGTACATCCTGAAGTGAGGGATTAAAATRCACTTTCCGAGGCAAACAAGCTCCCATTGGGTGTTTTGGTTGATGTAACTCCAAACTTGCCAAGGCTGAGAAATTACTTTGCCATGTTGTGCAGCAGCAGTAGTTACCTGCTTGGTCTGGGATAGTTCTCCAGTCCCTCRGGATGCAGGTAGCCAGCAACAGGATCAACATTATGAGGGCTGTTGCTTTCAAATTCCAGCCTGGAGCCTTGCCCACCACCCAAAGAATCTTGTCTTGTCCCGGGGAGTGTGAGGGCTGAAGAGCTGGTGGGGGGCAGGGGAGGCAGCACAGGGACAGACACGGGTCTGGGAGGAGGGCAGGGATGGCAGCCTGGTGCCAAGGCCCAGTTGGGTGATTTGGGGGAGGTCTGTGGCAGCTGTCCTGAACCTGTGTGTGAGTGTGGCAGCAGCAGGGAGGTCTGTGCTCATCCCTGCCATCAGGTGTTTGCTGGCATTGGGGGTTTGTGCCTTTGGGGTTCTGGATAAGTGGATACACTAAGCTGGAATAATTTATAGCCAGTTAAAATGTTGAAACCAATTAAAAGTGAAGTTGGCCTGAAAACTGTTGAAAGAACTCTTGTGGTTTTGGGTCCATGTGACAGGACAGTTTTTATTCTGTGCTAGTTTTCCCCCAGGGGTTTGGCCTTGGTAAACTCTCCAGTGAGGAGTGGGATGTACAAACTCTTCACGGGAAGGTTTTTCAAACTCATARGGTGAATCTTGGAAAGATTTCCAGATGAATTTTGGAAGAAATGGTTCCCTGGGAGGGTGGGGAGGCCCTGGCACAGGGTGCCCAGAGCAGCTGTGGCTGCCCCTGGATCCCTGGCAGTGTCCAAGGCCAGGCTGGACATTGGGGCTGGGAGCACTCTGGGAAGGTGTSSCTGCCATGGCAGGGGTGGCACTGGAGGATCCTTAAGAACCCTTCCAGCTCAAACAATTCTGGGTGCTTTGGAGTGCACCCAGAAGCACCACAAGGTGCCAGTAAGATTTCACCACCTCCCCTGATAYCTCGCTGATAATGACAAGCTTTAGGGACAGAGCGAACTTGGCAGAGCTTTATTTGGATGTGGAAGCACAAACCATAAAGCTGCCCACATTCCACAAGTGCATAAACCATTGGAGTACTCCCAAGCCTTAACTCAATTTGTCTTATCTTAAAAATGGGCAATAAACATTGCAGTGGCATCATAAAGATGTTGTTCTTGTGTTTGTTCTCGCTGCTTCAAAGGTCTAATCTGGTCAAATTTGCTCAGTTTAATTTAYAGCACTTGGGTCTCGGTGCTCTTGGTTACTTCCAGCAGGAGACAGCTCAGTGCATTTTCCCAGGAATGCTCCTGTCTCTGGGGTGTCTCCAGCTTTGGGCTCTCTCTGCTCCCAGCAGGAAGCCCCTGGTGACCAGAGCCTGGCCTTTAAACAACTCCCCAATTTCTGCTTTGTGCCTTGTACAAGTTTTTTCACATTTACTGAGAAACACAAAATAAACCACGATCAAAGGAGATCCTGGTGTTGCCTTTCCCTGGTCCTGCCTCCAGCTGGGCCATCSGTCTGTCTCCATTTCCAAGATGACTTTGACAGCAGCTGATTTTTCCCAAGCACAACCACCCTGTCCAGAGACACCAGGAAAGCAGCAAGTACAATTTCAAACTACAATGTAGCAGAAAAATTGAGCTTCTTGTGCGAGAAACATGGTTTTTTTTCAATAACCTTTCAGAGAAAGGACTGAATATGACTCCTGGAGCTTCCAGCCTCCTCGTGCTCCTGTTTGAAGTTCAGTTGTGGAATTCTTGGTTTGGGAATGGGTGGCTCACAAGTGCTCTGGTTAAACTAAGATGGGAAAAATGAGCTGGATTGAAAGGAGCTGGATGTGGTGTTTTAGGGCAGATCTGCACCATGAGTTTGCAGCTGCTGACAAGCAGCTTTCCCTGGTGGTGGAGGGATGTGATTGTGGAATGTCTGAACTCTGCTTCAGCTGCTCATTTCTGATGRTCTGGTTTGATATTCTCACACAGATGAAGAGCTGCTTCCCTGACAGCTACAATTTGAGGTTTAATTTACTATGAAATGGGTATTCAAAGAGTACTTTGGATTTTTACAGCTCTACAGCAAATTTTTTTCAAGGAAGGACTTGGAGCTTTCAGATACATCATGTTCTTGCAAATACARTATTTCTGCTCAGTCCAAATGTATTTGATCTTCAGGAAACATTCTTAAAGGAGAATGTCAAACCAAAAGGGCTTAATCTGAAAATTAACTTTTCATTTGAGAAGTTCTATTTCAAAAGCTTAGCTAACAAATATGTATTTGTTTAAAATAATTGCATCAAAGTCAATGTCCCTGATTTTCCTTGTTTTTTGGGTTCCAGGCAAAGTGCTTCATGGATTTCAAAGCTGGAGGTACATTATGTCACATTCTTGGTGCTGCTTACAAATATAAGAATGAACAGGGCTGGTAAGTTTTTATTTATGGTTTATACACCTTTGCATGAAACCAAGCACACAGAATTGCTTATGCAAACTACCTAAAGTTTAATCCTTCCTGGAGAATGAGGCAGGCAATGCAGTGGAGATGGGAAGAGGGAGTTTTTTCTTGTTTTGCTGATGGTAGCTTTTTTAAGACACGCCCCCATACTTCTAAATTTGAAGAGAAGTTGGCCAAGTTTAAGCTTTGGGGCTGTAGTTGTAGTTAATTACAAGTTCAAGGCTCTTTTTTCATTTCTTTGCTGTCTGACTGAGCAAATGAACCAGAATCAGTCTCACATCTGTGAGATGTAAACCCCTGTTACTGCATTGATTATTTGGTTTAGTTATAATTGGTAAAGYGTGAAGTACTGCAGATTCTGATAAATGCTCAGATTTCCATTGCTCCACAARTGGGGAGTGTAAGCACTTAGAAACTCTGCCCCTGTAGCTGTTGACACTGGTATGAAAAACAGCCAGGTGATATCCCAAGAGTGTTTCATATAGTTATAATCCTCTTCCCAAGGGAACAATAGCATAGGATCATAAAATCTTGGAATGGTTTGGACTGGAAGGGTCCTTAAAAAGTTCATCCAGTGCCACCCCCTGCCATGGACAGGGATGCCTTCCACTGTCCCAGGCTGCTCCAAGAGCCCTGTCCAACCTGGCCTTGAAATTACTATTTTTGAGAACATTGGGCAAAAACCTGAGGATGAAAAGTCAATAAATGTAAATAATCAATAAAATTAAGCAGAGATTTTTCCTGTATGTGAATTTTAATAGTTTTGCAGTTTCCAGTCTGCAACAGCATTCCTGGAATTGACTGAGTTGTTTTTACACATGAACCATTTAAAAGGCAAAATAAAGTTCTTTTAGAGTGGTTGGTTATTTTTAGGAGTTAYTCATCCTCGTATTAGTTCTGTCTGAGATGAATATATCAGGAATAAGAGTTTTCCTACTCCAGGTTTTGCCAACACCTGAGACAGGCACCTGTTTGCAGTGGGGTTTGTCAGGAGTGTCTTGCTGCCTCTTTGCCTTAAGATACAGGAATTAAATGATTCCAACTGCAGGAATATTTGAATATTTCAATCCCGCAATTTTACCGAGCAAATCTGGTTTCCAGTCCATTGTGCAGCCCAGCTGAGCTCTGGGGTTGCCTCCTCCCCTGTCCCTGCCTTGCTGCTGCCTCATGATTAGTGTGGGTAGTGCCTGGTGTCTGTGCATGTGGGACGTAGCGGGCAGTAATCCTGGAACTTAACTCTGAGGATCAGCCCTAGAGCCTGGAATGTGTCCCTCACTTACTCAATGAATAATCCGTGCTGTTTGCCTGAACTGTGATTGATWTGATTTTTGAATGGTCTGCATTTCGCTCCTGCTTAACCTGTTTGTGACTGATCTGTCTTATAGGAGAAGTCCCTTTCCTCGCCACAATAGGTATGTCTGAGAGCTGGACATACCTGGCCCTCACTGCAGCCCAAGCAAACCTGGCACAGGGAGTCTCTTAAGCTGAGGACAGGAGGGAATTAGTGTCATTTTTATCCAAATGGGCAGCCAAAAAAGTGCTGTTAATTAATGTGTCCATGTCCTTCTCTGGGTTTCTGAAGCAGGCAGGGATTTGGGGACGTACAGCATTCCATGGATGCACAGTGCAGGTTTTCAGCAAAAAATGTAAAAAATTTGGTCATGCCCTGAGTGTCTTTGTCTCACAGGTACCAAGAATACTGTAGGTGTTTATTTGGCATTTATCTCCCATGGAGCCAAACATTCTGGATGTTGTGGATACAAAGCATGACTGAGCATTGGAGAAGGGGCTTGATCTTGCCTCTAAAATCCTCTGTATTATAGATGTAAAATACTGTATTAACAGTGACCTGACAGCCTTGATGTCTGGCTCTACTTTTGCAAATCATGGTAAACTTTTCAAAGCACACAACAAGGTCCTAAATTCCTTTTTAAAAGGGTGATTTCAATCAATATACCAGGATCTTATRTTTGATTTGTTGCCGTGTCATCAGTGTGAAGGGCAGAGTCCCTCATGTGCTTTGGGGCAGAAACCATCTCCCCTGACAGAGGATGTTTGTAGAGCTGCCCAGCTCCTCAGACTGTTCCCACCTGCCTGGGCAGCTCCCTCCTGAAAATCCCAGGAGCCTCCAGTGGAGAAGAATGTGGTGGTCCCAGCTGAGGTGTCTTGTTTGATTTAGTGGGGTCACACCCTGCTGTGGTCATGGGGCTTGGGGCTAACCTTTGCTTTCCTTTACCTTCTCTGGACATTTATCAGCTGGAAAAAGGGATTTGTTGCTGGAAACAGGGATGTGTTTATAGGAAACCCTCCTTGGCTGTGGAATAACTGGTTTGAGCTGGGTGGTGATTGCAGCCCGTCAGTCCCTCGTGGGGAGGACRTGCACAGCTTTCCCACTGGATTGGGTGTGCAGGGCTTTGGATTTCACACCCTGGCACTACCTCAGAGCCAGGGAGCCTTTCCAGACTCCAGCAACAGCATGTTCCCAAAGCTGGGAGGTGCAGGTGTGCCCTAGGTCACGTTTTACCTCTGAGAGGCACAGCCCCGTGGTTAAACCCCTCCTGGTGCTTTGGAAAGGCTGAGTGGTGAGGGCTCAGCCCCCTCCATGTCAGTCCCTGCTGCTGCTGGGCCTTGTGGAAATGCTGCTGCTGGACATGGGGAGGGGCTGGGATTGTCCCTCCTCAGGCTCTGGGGTCACCACTCAAATCCCTCATTTGGGYTGACCTGTCTGGGAGTTCCAAATGTGTGGAGGGGTCAGGTGGGTACAGCAGAGGGAATTTGGGGTCTCCTGTACTGCTTCCCAGGAGGAATTTCCAGATTTTGTGCTCTCCCCCCATTTCTTATGGACCGATCTCTATGGDTGTTGCAACAATTGTGATGATGTGTCCGTGCAATAAACTTTAAAACACCAGGGTTCAGTAAAGGCGGTGAGAAAATGCTGACACGGATTATTAGCTGCCTGTGCTCTGGGGGGTGGTTTGTTYTCACACGAGGCAGAGGAATTGCTGCTTTTCCTGCATTCCCAGGACTGGTGGATGGGTGCAGCTAGAAGTAAGAGAACCGTGAGAGCTCGTTCCATGAATTTTCTCATCTGGTTGTTGAAATCCATCATGGTTATGTGTTTAATTACCCCATGACTGTGGTGGCATGCACGACCCTGCTGCAGGGTTTGGTGGGCACTGTCAACCTTCCTTTTTYCCCTAAACATTTCACAAATCAGCTGCATTTGTTAGTTTGGTTCATTGTGGTTTTCTYGCTCGTGAGGGTGCCAAGTGCAGCAGCAATAGTTGTCGTTGTGCTCCAAGTGTCCTTACGCCGCTGCCATGGTCCTCGCTTTCTGTGCAACGGGGAAGGTTCTGGACTGCTGCAAGGTGGCCACTTGGAGTTCATATTTTTGAATCTTTTCCCTCCACAGGAGGAGGTTTGACCTGCAGAATCCCTCCCGAATGGATCGCAACGTGGAGATGTTCATGAACATTGAGAAAACACTGGTGCAGGCAAGGAGCTCCCCAAACACTGCTGCTTGGGGCAGGGATCTGCTTTGGGACCCAGGGAAGGGCTTCATCCTGGCCTTCTGTAGGACTATGGGCCTCCCTCCATCCTCCTCCCACCCATTTTAGTCACGATTTCCTGTTCCCACTTGAAAAGTGTGGAATATTTCCACTGATACTCTGTGGACATGCAGAGGGTGAGGAAAACTTGTAGGGTAGGAGAAAACATCCAAGTGTGCCCATGTCCCTGTGGAAATGGCACCCTTGGGACTGAGTAACTGGTCCTGTACACACCAATTCCATGGCTGACTTTCAGTTTGATCTAAATTGGCCTTTTTTCAGGTTAGGGTGCCTTTTAGTCTATTTTCTCAGACAAATAATTTTTTATATCTATTAAGCAACTTTGCGGAATCTAATTTGAAGTTCCGTTTTTCAACTGCTGCATGTGGATATTACATTATTTTTTTCAAACCCTAAAGCCAAGTTCAGTGTATAATATTGTCAAAACATAACTTTYAGGTGGTGTTAGGAATGGAGATAGGAAGAAGAGCAAAAAGCAGCAATACTCTTGTTATAAAACCCCCTTGTTATTGTAAGCAGTTTCAGTTTATAATAAAAACCTGGGCAGGGCTTAGGGGAGGTGTGTGAAGGGAATGTCCCTGACCTGTCTTACCCTCTGGTCTGGGCTCCACTGGAATTCCAGCATGGTGATTTTAGTAGGAATATTCTGGTTTTTTGCCACAGATCACTTCCCAGTTCCTTGTTTAACTTTCTGTTCTCTCACCAGAACAACTGTCTGAGCAGACCAACCATCTACCTCATTCCTGACATGGAGCTGAAGCTGGCCAACAAGCTGAAGGACATTGTCAAACGTCACCAGGTGAGCATCACACAGCACAGTGTGCCCAGTGTTGGTCACCTCTGGGTTACCCCAGGGGTGTCCAGGGACACAGGGCAGCAGCACCAGCTCACTTGGGAAACTGGTTTTATCCTCCTATGGAGGCTGAATCCCTGCTGTGCTCTGAAAGCAAATCTGGACCTGCTGCCAGGTGGCTCTGGGTGAGCTGGAGACAGGCTCAGCTGATTTATTGCCCAGTACAGGTTTGTCCAAACCTGGAACTGAAGCAGGAGTGAGGCAGCTGTTCCAGATGTGTGGGACAGCAGAAGGAAGCTTCACTCTTGAAATAATCGCTGGTTTTTCCTTTCTTTCACTCTTTTACTACTGGTGCTGAGCAGAGCCCAGGCAGCCTCAGTGCATCTCAGACATTGCAACACCCTGCYCTCATAATTCCAGGTGCTAAAGGATGACCTGAGCAAGATTAATGGATTCAATTYTTAAAAACATAAGCAGTCTTCTCTCTTGTCTGGAGAGAAATACCCTGGAATGTGACCTCTGGATGGTCTGATGGCTTTTATGTCGAGACAATTCACAGCTGTAGCCAAAGTGTTTCTTTTCCAGATTTAATCTATTTCCTGTGTTGTGATTATGAACCATTGTCTCAGCCTCAGTTGGGCACGTTTTCACAAGTTGCTCTTAATTATTTGGCTGATTCAGGATGGGTGTTATTGCTTAAATTAGAGTGAATGAGGCAATTTTCCTTTCATAAAGGAAKTCTGTAGTGAGCTCCACGCTGTATCCATGAGTGATTTAAGGGGTTTTTAAAGCAGCTTTGTCTCTRCAGGGATGTGAAGAGATGAAAACAGAAATTGTCCCTAATTCTGCTTTCTGGGCTTCTTTCCTTTGCTCTGCCTCTGAATTCTCATCTTGTTGCTAACTTTGCTTCCTCACTATCTGGATTATTTTCTATTTTTAACCCCTTACTGTCATGTCCCCAGTGCCTATAGCTGCCTGGTACCCCAAGTTCTCCCTGCACCAACTTCTGTTCATCTCCTGTGTTTTGGGTTTTTAAGGCTCCACAGGAAATAAATGGATCTTACTGATTTGGTTCACAAAGCTCAGCTCTACAAGAGCATCTTCAGTTCATGGAGAACAAAGGGAGAATTATCTTCTTTTTCCCTTTATCACTGACACGTTCTTCATTCGTGCCAGGGCTCTTTCTCTAAATTCTTATTTTCCTGCTCCCTCTTTTGCTGCTGCTCAGAGCTGCTCCTCTYCTGTTTGCGAGTTCTGGGAACTCTTGGTGTGGGAGCTCTTGCCCTTCAGCCCCCGATCCCAGAGTATCTCCACATCCCACTCCCAATGTTCTCATTCCTCCTTTTGCTGCTGCCATCCAAGRAAGGGCTTTGCAGCTTGTGCCCTTAAATAAATCTGTTGTGTGTTTATGGGATGCACGTTTTGGGCACATTTTCCTACCAAACTGTTCCAAAAAACACAACTCCTCTGCAGGCAGAGCTTTCTGCTCTTTGGGAATGACTCTTCCCATGTGGAGACTGAGGGTGTCTGAAGTGCATGGAAGAATCCTTCTGGGCCTCCACATGAGGGAAGGACAGGATTTCCTGGACTGGCAGTGTTAGGGATTTATTTCACACATCTCYGAGCCTGTAGTAGATTTTTTTTCCATATTGGTGTAGGTTGAGTAGGAATACTGTTATGGCCTGTGCACATAAGTATAGAAATTGTTTTATGGAACTCTCCACCACTCCTTGACAGGAGGGTGGAGCTACTTGAGTTTCTCTAGACTTTTCTGATATAAATTGTCATATTTACAGATCGGTTTGGACCACAATGTGGAAAGGCRCAGATACTTTCTTACAATGTATTTTTGTGTGAAATAATTCAATTTATCATGAGGATTGGGGCTGGGGAAGATGGAACTAGGGAAACAAAGGATTTGGCATGAACAGAGGAAAAGATGTCAAAGTAATTTAATAGCAGYCTTTAAATAATTGCCTTTTCCTCACACTTCTTGGAGCTGGTGTTATGCATTGTGTTAAAGGTGGCCTTCAATATTCCTGGGTGTTGTCAGTAGAAAGAAGCAGCTGAGAGGTTTGGGGTGATGTACTGAGTGTTTCTCATGCAGTTTCTCCTCTTCTTCCATGTTTCCCTAGGGAACAGTCACTGAAGAGAAATCCAAGGCTACCCACCACGTGTATCCAAGTCCTACCTCAATGGATGATGGTAATGTTCTGTTACAGTTTTTGAGTGGGAATAGTCTTGTGATAAATTCCATGTGAAGTCGTGGAAGTGTTCATCAGACTCAGCGTGTTCCCAGCCTGCTCCTGGGGAGCACTGTCTGGATTATGGATAATGCTGTGCCATGGGAATAKTCYTTCTGGAAAGGGCTGTCCAGCCCTGGCACAGCTGCCTGGGGCAGGGGWGKAGTCCCCATCCCAGGAGGGATTTAAAAGCCATGGGATTATGGGGTGGTGCTGGGGAATGGTTGCACTCTGAGATCTTGGAGGGCTTTTCCAACCTCAGCGATTCYCTGAGTTCCTGTSTGTCCAGGAATCCTGTACGGAATGCTTRTACAGTCCTTGGGTGTGGTGGGCAAGGTGGGAGCAATAGCAAGGGGAGCTCCTCCGTGAGGCCTGGCTGTGTTAAAGTTCACTCTGCCTGGATGAAGTGCAAGGTTCAAAAAAAAAGCAATTTCACAKCTGCCTCCTTCAGCAAATAGCAAAAAATATTTCATTTTTTCATCATTAATTAGTTTATTACYTGGTGGATCACTGTTGTCAGGCCCAAGCAGCATAGACACAGCTCCCTTTCCCACGTTCTCTGGCCTGTGCTGGCCACTAGGTGGAAGTGCTCCCTGCAGTTTGCAGGATCAGGGATGCTTTGTGCTCTGTCCCTCTGGCAGCCCCTCTCCAGGTTCAGCTCTGTGTCTGTCTCTGGCCACATCAGGCTCTCAGCAGAGGCTTCAGCAGKGTGGGACAGAGCTCCAGGGCTCTGGGCCCTGGTTACACTGTAGGGAACAGCCCTAAATTCCTGCAGGGATTAGAGATTCAGGTTCACATCCTCTGCATTTCCCCTGTTGTGCTTCTCTGGGTTCTGTTCTCTGAATCTGGGTTGCAGAGTTTGGTGCTTGAAAGCTGCCTCCAGCCCTGGGACTGCAAGAGCACAGGGACCTGGAGCTGCTGGAGAGAGCCCAGAGGAGGCCCCAGAGCTGCTCCCAGGGCTGGAGCCCCTCTGCTCTGGAGCCAGGCTGGGAGAGTTGGGGGTACTCACCTGGAGAAGGGAAGGATGCATTGAGAGCTCAGAGCCCCTTGCAGGGCCTGAAGGGGCTCCAGGAGAGCTGGAGAGGGACTGGGGACAAAGGATGGAGGGACAGGACACAGGGAATGGCTTCCCACTGCCAGAGGGCAGGGATGGGATATTGGGAAGGAATTCCTGGCTGGGAGGGTGGGGAGGCCCTGGCACAGGGTATCCCAGAGAAGCTGTGGCTACCCCTGGATCCCTGGCAGTGTGCAAGGTCAGGCTGGATGGGGCTTGGAGCACCCTGGGACAGTGGGAGGTGTTCCTGCCCATGGCAGGAGTGGAATGGGATGGGCTTTGAGGTCCCTCCCCAGCTCAGGACCCGAGCACACCTTCAGCCAAAGGGTTTGCAATAACCTCCCTCTGACTCTGTAAAAACTGAAATACGGTGCTTTTCCATCCATGTCTGACCTGGTTCTTGTTGCCTTTGCAGATGAATGGTTGAGACCTGTGATGAGAAAGGACAAGCAGGTGCTGGTACATTGGGGCTTTTTTCCAGACAGGTAAAGAAAGGTGGGGAAAAGTGAACCCCGAGTCTTAACTGTTTGATGGAAAAGTCTTGATCTCAGTGTGCAAAGCTTGAAAAGAACTAACCATTGATTTAAAACTGAGATGTCCACACCCATTTGTGGCACTGGCAGGTGGGTGAGGTTGGAAAGGGAGTTTTTCTGTAGAGCCACAAAGAATTGGTTGCAAATTGAAAAATTTAAAAGTTGRAATGAGCCTGTCCTTTAAAGGGACACTGTCCAGTCACTTGGCTGAACTTTAACCAAGTTGGGCTGTCCTCAGTCAGKTGTGACTGCTGAAGCACCTCTTTGAGAAAACTGCCATGTACTGTTGGAACATGGTAAAATTCAGTGTATGTGCTGTTGGTAACTTAAATGTGTTTGCAATTACTGATTTCTGAGCCTAGGAAAATCAATCAAAAAATTGATAACCCAGTATTGACTTCTACTTCATTAACTTTTTCAGGCCACTAAAATCTACTTGTTCACACATCAAATTTGCAAGAGCTGTGTCTCATACGGAGATTTCAATGGAAGAGAGCAAACAGTAATCACACTGAAGTTTCTTTATACAGATGAAGAGCCTTTAAATATTTTATATTTGTGTCAGTAGTCAATTCTGTATGGATTCTGTGTCTATCTAGATTTCTAAATTGCAGTATAAAACCAGGAATGCTGTATGCATCAGACCTTGCACATGACTTTTCCCTGTTCCTCAGTACCTGGTGTTGATTACAGACAATACAAAGTATTTTGGCTTTTGCTGCTGCTCAGTGCAGTTTCTTGATTAATTGACTTTTGAGGGAATAATGTGGAAAAGTGAATGTAAGTAATGAATGGTTTCTAGGACAGGATGCAGCTTCCTCCCTTCCAGGAATCCAGCAGCTCTTGCTTTAAACTCCTGAGAACAGAAAAAAGTGAATTAAGTTAATGGCAGGGTTTGGTTGAGTGACTCAGAACTGCCTTTACCCCCGGGATCTCTCTGGATTTGCACTTGAAGCTGGAGGTGGTTCACTGAGAGGTTTTTTTTTTAATTCAAATGTGCTCTGGAGCCCTCCCTCTGCCCTGGGTCCCATTCCTGTAGCACAGACTGGGGGTTATTCCCTATSGAAAGCTCTGCTGTCCCAGCAGTGGGATCTGCACGTGCCAGAGCTGCTGGAAAACCATTCCTGAGTGACCCTGGAAGCTGAGCTGCTCTCTCTTGACCCTCCCTAGCTATGACACCTGGGTCCACGCCAATGAAATAGATGCAGAAATCGAGGATCCCCCGATTCCCGAGAAGCCGTGGAAGGTAAGTAAGTCCTTCCCAGAATTCCTGTGCTGGTGCAGTCAGGGTGTTGGCACTGCTGTATTTATTACTGCACTCACTGACAATGTTCCCCCTGACAATGCTCTGTGTGTCCTGCTGAGCTGCAGAGTCAGCAGCTCAGACCTGCTCTGCTCAAACGCCACTTACTCCAGGTAGTAACCTTAACACACGGGAGAAAAGGATTTTGGAGTATAAACCTTACTRTGAATAGTGAGAGAGAATTGTGTAAAGTATTGATAAATCAGTAATAAATTGTGTAAATGACTGTAAAGCTCCAGAAACCTTTTCAGCTGTGTAAACCAAACTGTATTTGAAGGTGGATGTTTGAAATCCAGACAGCTAGTCTTGTCTCTCCAGGGTTTGACCAACTCTTCCTCATTTTTCTGGTGTTTATGGCACTCTGCTGAGGGAATCTCTATTTGGGAGGTTTCAATGGTAATTTTCAGCATCCAGAGAGCACTGTTAACCCAGAGGTGTTTTCTCACCTCTGAGAGCTGACCTCACACTTCAGAGGCTTGAAAATGGTTGAGGAGCAGAGGTTGAGTTCTGAGTCCTGTTCATCCTTTTGACACTGCCCCAAAAGTGTGTGAAACCAGTGGGAGAGATTTGGACACTCAGACCAGAGAAAGCTCCAGGAATCTCCTTAATCCTGGGAGATCTCTCATGGAGTTATTTCTTCTCAAAGCATCAGCCTCTCAGTGTCTCCTGTTCTTCAGGTTCATGCCAAGTGGATTTTGGACACAGATGTGTTCAACGAATGGATGAATGAAGAGGATTATGAGGTGGATGAGAACAGGAAATCTGTGAGTTTTCGCCAGAGAATCTCCATGAAGAATGAAGAGGTGGGTGGTTCTCTGCTGAGGGGACCTGTAGGTACAGGAATGTCCTTTATCTCTGCATGGATATAGATGGAAAAGGGAGGGCTCCAGGGACACSTAAGGRGGCTCCAGRAGAGCTGGAGAGAGATTGGGGACAAGGGATGGAGGGACAGGACACAGGGAATGGCTTCCCACTGCCAGAGGGCAGGGATGGRTGGGATATGGGGAATGAATTCATGTCTGGGAGGGTGGGGAGGCCCTGGCACAGGGTGCTCTGAGAAGCTGTGGCACCCTGTTGTAGGATTAAGGAAGGCTGTGGCCTCCAGCACTGCAATGGAGGATTTGGGAATAACTCAAACCTCTGCTCCCTCCCAGCCCGTGCGGAGCCCAGAGAGGAGGGACAGGAAAGCAGCAGCCAGTACAAGGAAGAGGAAACATTCTCCTTCTCCACCCCCCACTCCTGTGGAGTCCAGGAAAAAGACAGGGAAGAAAGGGTGAGTGTCTGGAAGTTTCCAGAGGCCTGGAATTTGAAGTGAAAAGAAATGAGGGGAAAAAAAAAGGAAATTTAAGGAATTCTTATGGGGAGCTCTGTGACCTGGGGTTCCATAACTATTTCTGGATAGGCTTGGGGAATAATTCCTGAGCAGCCTGTGTAATTCCTTGGCTCCTCCAGGAAATGTGTTGGCTGCAGCTGGGGCAGGACCTGGGGCAGGCTCTCCTGTGTCACTGGCAGGGCCCGTGGCAGCCTCAAGAATAGAAAGATAAGTCCCTCAGCTGCTTCTAAAATAACCCAGATTGGTGCTGGTGGTGTTGTCATCGGCTGCACATACAATTTTTGAGGACAGCCCCATAAATTAGTGCTTTAATTAAGCTGCAGTTGAGAAGTGGACTTTAAAATACCTTCCATGGAGCTAAAAAAAGAAAATCTCCTTAATGGGGGGAGGAACAACACATGTTGTTCTGCAGCTCGAGTTCCAGTACACATTCAACTTCTGACCCAAAATGGTYAAGAGAAGCCTGTGGCTGCAGATGGGGAGGTTATCAATGCTGCTTTGATCTCTTAAAAKAAGAAAGAAAATCCAGTAGTCCACCCTAATAAAAACTTAATAATGGAGGCTTATGTGTGGATATGAAGGGGAGCACTTTTGGGCTAAAAATTCAGGTCTTGTTTATGGACCTGCTGAGCTCCAATAAAACAAAACTGGAACATTGTCAAGAATTACTTGATAATCGGAATTACTCCTTCAAATGAAAAGCCTGATTTGGGGTCTGTGAGGGAATGTGGGACTGGTTCTGCCTTTGTTCCCAGAGTGGTTTCAGGAGGGTTTGACCTTTCAGTCCTGGTACTGAGAAATGTCCAGAGGAGAACATCTGGCAGAGCCCCTGTGTCTGCTCTGTTCCAGACAAGCAGCTCTGTATGGAAAAAGGAGGGGGCAGAAGGAAGAAGATGAACAGGAAGATCTCACCAAGGACATGGAGGATCCCACACCAGTACCCAACATAGAAGAAGTGGTACTTCCCAAAAATGGTAAAATATGAAAACCCTTTGCATTCTTTGAATGTTCAAAATTAAACTGTGTTAAAATCATGTACATATTTTGTCAAATCTTTGAAGTACTGAGTGGTCATGGGTCCAGGTGATCTCTGTCCATAAATGTATCTAGTCAGSGATGTAACAGGTGAAAAGGGCAGCAGATTCACCTCCTTTTGGCCTTTTAAAATACAAAAATACATTTACAGAAAACTTTTAAAAATAGATTTATAACAATGTACTTAAATGTTTCATTTCACCTGTTCATGTYGGGGGAGATGGAGTTTTCTGGAGCAAAATATTTCCCTGCCAAGTCCCTACCCCACAAGAAGAAGAAGAATGTTAAATGAGTGGAAAATGTGCTACATGTCAAATGCTTTTAGTCCTTTTCAGGGAAGGGATGATGTGGGCARTAATTCTGGGAAAAAGAATTCCTTCTGCATCCTTGACAGCAGATTATYTGGGGAGTCTGTCCATTTGGGTTTTCCTTGGTTTGGATTTGCACATAAGCCTTGTTATGTGTTGGGCAGGTGGGAAGTGCAGGGTTGTCCGTGGATAGATCGTGCTTTGTGTTGAGCTGGGAATTCAGGGAAGTGGGACAAACAAGCCCTTGTGCTGCCGTGTGAACTCTTGAACTGCAGACAGGGCCAGCAGAGCACAGGGAAATCAGGCCAGACTGGATAATTCCCTGTCTGCCGCTCTCATCGCTCCCGTTCCCTCCGCAGTGAACCCAAAGAAGGACAGTGAGAACACGCCCGTGAAAGGAGGAACCGTGGCAGACCTGGGTAAAGCCCCCTTCACCCCTGCCCCATGCCCGACACTCAAGTCCTGCTAGCAGTCAATATTTCTAAATAGATTGTAAATATTTTAAATCTCTCATTTTTAAAAGCCATGTCTAGTTCTGCTATTTTGTTGAATTAATTAATTTTTCATACATATTTGAGTTCAAATGTACCAACTCTTTTTTTTCACTGGTAAAGCTGTTCCCTCATAGGCTATTGTTATTTTCATTTTTTTTGAGATGGCATACAAGCTCTTTTCTAGCAGAATTTGAATTTTTTTTTACTGGGAATCAGGGTGAATCACAGGTTCCCTGAGCTTTGCTGAGCTTTGACATGAGATACAAACTCATATCCCATATCTTATTAAACAAGGCTCATGGTGGGCACCGGGAAAGGAAATAATTAATTGTGGATTCTGAAGTTTGAGAAAATTCTAATTATCTTTCCTTTGTATTKTTACCTGCTCCCTAGTCTGGGATAGGTGAAGATGTAATTGCTTCAGTGATGTGGGATCCACTTTGCTTCTCTCCTCCCTTCCCCTCCAAAAGAAATTGAATGTTCTTTCCAGTTAAACAGTTGTGTTGCTGGGAAGGCTCATGAGCATTTAAATGAGTTTTGTTGGTGTCATTCTCGATGTTTTTACCTTTCAGATGAGCAGGATGAGGAGACAGTGGCGACTGGAGGAAAGGTARCAGTACCTGGTTCTTCCTTAATTTGGTAGCAGCTGAGATTGTAGAATCCCAGACTGCTTTGGGTTGGAAGGGACCTCAAGGATCATCCCATCCCACCCCTGCCTGTCACGATCCGCTAATACAGGCGGGAGTCGTGATGGTTCGTTAACTGAATCTCAGAGTACAAAAGAAGCAGGGACAAGTATTTTTCAAAATCAAAAGCACTTTTATTGAGTGCTAGCAACACAATTTATGCKATAGAAGAGGGAGAAAAAGAAAGAGAGAGAGAGAGAGAGTTGGGTTATAGCTCCCAACAGCACAGACGAAATCCTCGTGGTCCAGAGCCAATGGATCCATCTTCGTCCATGGGGAGTACTCATAGGGGTCTTTTCAGAAAATCTCTTTATAGTCTTTTCGAAAGCAAGGGGCAGCTGGCCAAGAGGTAGGGAAATAAGGCCCATTGTTTTGTCAGATGTCCAGTAAAAGCCATCCTTGGCAGCAAGGACGACGTAGTCAACTGTGGTTTTCTCAGTAGTTTGAGCACCTGCACTTGGCAGACATCCCACCTCGATCTGGCCTAGTTTTCTTTGTGCAAAAGTCCTTTTTCCCCTTTTTCGGGTTTTTGGGTGTTTAGTCTCTGTCATCTTCGATGATCGTGAGGCAGATGAGGGATTTCCATACCATTTCTTACATTGCCATGGCAGGGACACCTYCCACTGTCCCAGGCTGCTCCCAGCCCCAATGTCCAGCCTGGCCTTGGGCACTGCCAGGGATCCAGGGRCAGCCACAGCTGCTCTGGGCACCCTGTGCCARGGCCTCCCCACCYTCCCAGTCAGGAATTCCTTCTCAATATCCCATCCAACCCTGCCCTCTGGCAGTGGGAASCCATTCCCCCTGTCCTGTCAAGATCTTAATTTCTCCTTCAGTAATTTCACCTGTATTCACTTTCAAGTGATCTGTAAGATTAAATCAGTCACTGACAGGATTGTGGGTTTGTCACTGTGAAAACGCTCCATATTCTGTGGGATTACTTGGTATTTTTAAATCTAGTGTATTAAAAAGGAGAATGGGGAGACAGATGCCAAATATTTTCCAAGAAGCATTTTTCAGATGAGAGGTTTTTCAGAGGTTTTGTGCTTTTCTTAGGTTTTAGGACTATATCTAAACCCTGCTTTGGCTTCCTGATCATTTCAATAGAGCTGCAGGGGTAGATTCTGTATTGAATTGCATTTGTGGCATGCCAAGCTCTATATTTAACAGCTGTCTGATCACCAAATGTGTTCAGGGTGACACCTTGTTGTCTTTGGGGGAGCTCAGTCCCAGATAAAGATCCTATATTGATACCAATGACTCCTTAGGGTCTGCCTATGGGGACTTGGTTATTTTTAACCTTGCTCAAACAACACCTGAGGGGTTTTGTACAGTTCTTGTCATGTCCTGACCCTGTTTTGATGCTTCCTCTGTGCCCTCCTCATGATCATTTGGGGTCAGGAGTTGAACATTTGCTGGAACTTSAGTTGCAGAACAGCAGATGTTCACAGGAGGCTTCTGTGGAGCATGAGAGAGGGACCAAAGCTCTTCCTGCTCCTGGGGATGCCACAAAATCTGTGAGGTTGGGAAGCTCCTGTTGTGGCCCAGCTGTGCTGTGTCAGAGTGGTTGGGTGTCGTCTCTGAGTTCTGTGTTCCCTCTGTGCCTCAGGAGGAYGAGGATCCCAACAAGGGTGACCAGAGCCGCTCCACTGACCCAGGGGAGGACAACGTCACTGAGCAGACCAACCACATCATCATCCCCAGCTACGCCTCCTGGTTTGACTACAACTGGTGAGAGGGGCTGCCAGCTGCCAGGGGGACTTTGCTTGCCTTGATTTCCCAGAAATCAGCCCCAGAGCTGAGGGAAGGCACTGGGTGTAGGGCTGGTTCCCCTGTGCAGGTGCACAGGGCTTGGGAATCAGGAAGGGAATTTCAAACAGCAGACACCTTTGCTCTGCCTTCTCACCTCCATCCCTTTCTCTCTTTCACTTCCCTAGTCTTTGTGTTATCATTCTGTGTTGGTCTCCACTTCTGAAAGCCTTTTTATTTTGCTTCAGAACTTGACTTTGAGAAGTCCCTGATTAGAGAGGGAGGATATTTGTTCCAGCTTGGAATCCTCTTTGGAATGAGGGCTGTTCAGGATCTGAAATCTGAACTGCTTTTGTTGCAGCATCCATGTGATTGAACGTCGTGCGCTTCCGGAATTCTTCAATGGAAAAAACAAGTCCAAGACTCCAGAAATGTAAGTAAAACATGAGAGTGTGGACAGTGGCAGTGTGGCAGRATAAAGGAGCTTCCCATTCCATAAATCCTGTGGACACAGCTGGGTATGTGTGAAGCCGATAGTTCTGGTAGGGCCCTGAAGGAGGGACAGAGCCACTGATGATGTTTGTACATTATTGTGGCAAAGATAAAAGTTCAAATATCAAAGTGCTATTTAATAGTGGTTATCCAGGTAAAATAAAACTACTTTCTCCCAAGTAATASTGGAACAAAATCTTGAACTTTGTGTGGTACAAGACGCAATCCAACTCCTAGAGTCACCTAAAAATGTCATGAAGAGGTAGAAACTGAATAATCCTCCTTATTTCCCCCTCTCTCCCCATGTGACGCTGTATTTTTGTATTTCTCAGGAGTTCTGTGTGTTGTAGATCCTGTCTCAGGCTTTGGAGTGGATTTTCCAGAGTTTTCTGAGGCGATTGCAGATCTCCTGGAGTGTCTCATGGGAAATTCTGGGAGTGCAGGTGAAGGTCAGGGAATGTATCTTCCCAGGCCTGAGATGTGACTGTGATTCTCAAATATCGGAGTCTGGTTTCAGCCACAGAGCTCAAGTTGTGCATTGCAAGAAGGAAAATATTTTTTCTTCTSTAGCTGTTCTCAACCCTCTGGTGATGCTTTAATTCTGGCCATGCCTGTTCAATCCAGGTGAATTTAGGTGCAATTTGTACGTGTTTCATTTCCTTGTGGCATCTGGTTTACTTAGAACTTGAGTGGTCTTAATTAAAAATATACACCCAGAGCTATTTAAACAGCTTAAACATCTCCCTGGAGCTGTTTAAAATAGTAATTTTGTAAAAGGGTGATTGTTGCCATTATTGTCATGATGTATTGCAGGTTTTGTCACATTTCAGTTGATGAAATTCTGATCTGACTTGGCTGGTAACAAGATCAGCTGCTGGTGTGAAATGCTGGAGAATCCTGTGCAAGGCTTATTCTGTGCATCACTAAAGTCACCTCCCCTTCTGGGAGAGWTTTCTGAGTTTGGTTATTCAGAGGGATCTTGAAAGGTGATGGATAAAGGAAGTAAAGGAAGATGGTCAAAGGCTTTTGAACAATGTGCTTGTTTCTATGAAAATGATCCTAAAACCTGAGATTTCACACTGAAAAATCCTGGATTTGGGCCACAGAGTGTGTGGTCAGTGGGACTGGGCTGCTTGTGGTCACTTTGTCTTGGTGTCAAGTCTTGGCCTGGTTGCAAAGCAGCTTTTGGGTAGTTTAAAAGGTGTTTTGTTTTCAATCAAGTACTGGATGCAGTCTCTGCATTGTCTTCATGTCAGTTGGGCCGGCATTTCTTGGAATCCCAGGATGGTTTGGGCTGGAAGGGAACTTAAAAAACACCCGGTGTCACCCCTGTCCCATGGCAGGGACCCTTCCCACTGTCCCAGGCTGCTCCAAGCCCCAATGTCCAGCCTGGCCTTGGGCACTGCCAGGGATCCAGGGGCAGCCACAGCTGCTCTGGGCACCCTGTGTTAGGGCCTCCCCACCCTCCCAGTCAGGAATTCCTTCTCAATATCCCATCCATCCCTGCCCTCTGGCAGTGGGAAGCCATTCTCTGTGTCCTGTCCCTCCATCCCTTGTCCCCAGTCCCTCTCCAGCTCTCCTGGAGCCCCTTCAGGCCCTGCAAGGGGCTCTGAGCTCTCCCTGGATCCTTCCCTTCTCCAGGTGAGCACCCCCAGCTCTCCGAGCCTGGAGAGGAGAATTCCTCCAAGAGATTGTGTTTGTGCTTGAATCTCAGGTGTGGCTCTTGTTCTGTGATGCTTCTGWTCTGATGCAGAAGTAGAAATTAGGGACCGTCCCTTTTTCCCGGGCCCTTATGGTGTTTGTCCCCTGCTCCAGGAGGTCCCTTGGGTGCAGCCAGGCTGTCACTGAGCTTGTGACAGGACAGAAACAGGTCAGGCTGAAACAGCAGCTYCTGGCTTGAGAAAAGGGGAGTTTTGAACTCTGAACAAGATGAGGCACTGGGAGGGGCCTTGTAGAGTTGGGATTGTTCCTCTTTGGTGTCTTTGCAGCCCTTGCTGGACAAAACCCTGAGAAACCTGGTGAAAATCCATGGCTCAAGTAGGAGCTTGGCTCAGACACCCGCTGAGGCTCCTGGATCCCCAAGCATTTCCAGTCCATGGTCTGTYCTCACAACTTCTCTCCATGTCTGGGCTCAGAGTAACCACAGCTGGAACCCAGTGTCCCAGCATGGCTTGGGTGGAAGGGACCTTAAAGATCCTTTTGTTCCATCCCTGCCATTCCAAAATGTGTTTGTTCCAAAATGTGTCCAACCCTGACTGCTCCATCGGTTTGCTGCTCAGCAAGTTGTGCTTTGGGGTTTTTCAGTGTAAGGCAGCAGCCAGCTGGATCGTGGAAGGAATGTTTATCTCCTGGATCCCTCACCCCTGTGATTGTCACGTGCAGTCGCAGGCCTCTTTTCTAGCTGGCATCACATCAACTCTCCTGATGCTCCTCCCTGAGCTGCTACTGGTTATTGCCTGCGAGAGCAGCAGRCTGGGGGCTCCTCCCAGCCCTCTTGTCATCCTGGAGATCTATTTTTGGTGCCATTTCAGGATCGTAGGAGTAGCACGTGGTCCTGGCTTTGTGTTTTCTTTTGAAATAAAAGAGGAACATCCCTCTGAATGGAGATGAGTYGCCTCCAGCTGGAATTTCAGGCCAAAACACCGCGTTGGAGGAGCTCGCACAGGTTCATCCTTGTGACAGCAGTGCCTGGGGGTGGGCCCTGGCCGAAAAGGGATTGAGCTAAATCCTGCTTGACTTCTCTTCTCACTAGTGACAGGGTTTAGCTGATGGGTTGTGTCGTGGTTCAAAACAATCTTCCTTCAGAATAAACCTGGGGATGTTTCTGTCTTGGGCTTCTCTCTCCACCTTGTGATATGACCTTTGCTGATAAATACTCATTTCTTCAGCCAAGAGTTGTTCCTGGGCATGTTCTTCCCCTTCTGCCCTGGAGCATTCAGAAATGTTCCTCAGTACTCCTCTGTGGAAGAAGCTCCTTTTTGTTTCTTCTCTCCCAAACATCCCACATAGATCAAACACCTACTCCAGCAATTTTCTTCCAGCCAGTTGCACATATGATTTGGTCAGGAGGAAGATGTGGGATTTTGGCAGGGACATGTGCTTGCAGCATCTGCCTGCCTGGGTCTTGCCTGGATGATTTATATTTTTGGTTACCAGCTGCTTCACACACTGCATGTGAAACATATTCCCCTGGAATTTTCCAAAGGCAGAAATCTGCTTAAAAAMCACTGTTTTACACACAGCTTTGCATGGGATACTCACYTCATAGAATCCTGGAATGGTTTGGGATGTAAAGGACCCTAAAGCCCATCTCATTCCACCTCTGCCACAGGCAGGGACACCTTCCATCRTCCAGGTTGCTCCAAGCCCTGTCCAACCTGGATGGTGCCAGATTGTCTTTGGCTGATTAGTTTTTTTCCCTCTAAAGAACAGGGCTATTAATAATTTTATGGCAGGTTATTTTCTTCAGGATAATTTGTATTAGCAAGCATCAGTATATTCCAGAAACGTACTGTAATATGGGAATCTCACAGGGATTGTTTCTGCTCCAGCTGTTTCCAGCCGTGCTGGCTCTGGGCTCTTGTCCTTTGCTTTTCAAAGATCTTTTCTTCTCCGTGTTGCTGTTCTCCAGCCTTCCCTTCCCCATCCTTTCATCCATTAAAAACTCCACATGCAGCCACAGTAGTGTTCCATCCACTTTCTGCTTTTCTGAGCTCTTTTTCTTGCAGTCTCACCCAGGGATGCACAAGGATTAATTATCCTGTTCCCATGTGAAGACCAGACCCCATTATTTTCTTCCTACAGCTTTGATTCTGTTGTGGCAATATTTGGTCAGTGGCCAAGTTACAGGAGATATTTGCGTGATCTGCAATTTAAGCAAGTTTCCACGTGCTGCTGATCCAAACACAGGGAAAATCCAGAGTTTGTGAGAGTGTGAATTCCATTTACCTATTGCTTTTGGTGCTGGTTCTTAAATTTCTCCAGTAAAAGAGATCTGTTGGTGTTTGCTTGCCAGTGACAGGTGTTTGGGARGTGGGTATTAAAATTGTGTTGTGGCCAGTGTTGGAGATGAGGGTACATGAGTTGGTGGCTTTGTCRTGCAGATACCTGGCCTACAGGAACTTCATGATTGACACGTATCGGCTGAACCCGCAGGAGTACCTGACCAGCACTGCCTGCAGGAGGAACCTCACCGGGGACGTCTGCGCCGTCATGAGGTGACACCCGGAGCCTTGGCCTTTGGGGTCTGGAGCTGTTGGACATTTCCAGGCATCAGCAAGATCATGGAATAACTGAGGGTGGAAAAGCCGTACAGGATTGAGTCCAGCCTGTGCTTGATCCCCACCAGAGCACTGAGTGCCACGTCCAGGCATTCCCTGGACACCTCCAGGGCACCTCCCTGGGCAGCCCCTGCCAAGGCCTGACCACCCTTTCCATGGAGAAATTCCTGCTGATGTCCCCCCTGCACCTGCCCTGGCCCAGCCTGAGGCCRTTCCCTCTCCTCCTGTCYCWKTTCCCTGGGAGCAGAGCCCGACCCCCCCGGCTGCCCCYTCCTGTCAGGGAGTTGTGCAGAGCCACAAGGTCCCCCCGGAGCCTCCTTTGYTCCAGGCTGAGCCCCTTTCCCAGCTCCCTCAGCYRYTCCTGGGGCTCCAGACCYTTCCCCAGCTCCGTTGCCTGCCCTGAACATGCTTCAGCCCCCTCCAGGTCTTTCTGTGGGACCCAGAACTGGACCCATTGTCAGGCTTTGGTTTATACAACACTGAGGTGTGCACAAAGCTCCTGCTCTGGGATTTGTTTTGCTGTTTGGGATTCATGAAGGACTCGAGAAGCTCCTGGGTCTGTGTTTGATCCAGAAACATCAGCTTTGTTCATGCAAAGCATTAGCGAGGCTGTGGTGGTGAAGGCTGGATTTCTCCCGTTTTTCCCAGGGTGCACGCTTTCCTGGAGCAGTGGGGGCTCATTAACTACCAAGTGGATCCCGAGAGCCGCCCCATGGCCATGGGGCCACCCCCTACCCCCCACTTCAACGTGCTGGCCGACACCCCCTCGGGGCTGATGCCCCTGCACATCCGCACCCCGCAGGTGAGTCCCAGGCTGGCACTGCCTTGGCTCACCCCAGCAGAGGAGCTGTGCCCAGCTGGTGGAATGTCCCGTTCCTGASCAGCTGGCTGAGCATTTGGGGCAGTTCTGTGTACAATCACTCACACACRTTGCTCAGAGATTTGTTTTAATGTCCTGGACTTGTGTTCAGCTTCTCTGCCCAGCCCATGTTCTGTTGAGTATTGGTCTGAACACCTGGATAACTTTCAATTCCTGCCCCTCTCYCCTTTCCCCTGTAACGTTTGTTCCCAGGTTCCAGCTGCCCAGCAGATGCTGAGCTTTCCTGAGAAAAACAAGGAGAAGCCAACTGACCTGCAGAACTTCGGCCTTCGCACAGACATCTACTCCAAAAAGACTTTGGCCAAGGCAAGTGTCTTGGGATTCTTCCCTACAGCTTTGTATGTCCCCCACTTTGGTGACTTGTGTTGCTCCTCCGCTCCTGGTTTAGATATCTTCCATCCCAGTGCAGGACACTACGACAGGAGGCTGTGTTGGAATTCTGATTTTTTAGGAATAGAGACACTTAACAAGTTCCCAGAGCAGTCCACRGTGTCAGCCTTGAGACCCCAAACTCATTGTGTTTCACATGTCCTGCTGGAATGGTGCAGAATCAGCAAACCATCCAATGATTCAGGGCACAGAGATCCAGCAGGATCTTTAATTCTCCTGTTTTCCAAGTTTGAGCAGGGTTTCCTGGCTGTCTGGCAAACAGGGACCTCAATTCCCACAGGTTTGGGTGTCCCAGCGCTACTGCCAGGGATGCTTTGGCACCCACACTGCAGTGTGTGACGCAGGATAATTAAGCTTGGGAGACCTCACTGCAGTGATGTGTTGATTCCAAAATCCCCTGCCTTTCCCTGCTCCCTGTGTGTCCCTGGTGGTGCCCAGGTGCTGTGGGAATGCYGTGTTCCTTCAGCACAGCCTCCAGTGGGAATCTCCATAGCTGAATAGTGCCTCACATGGGTGCATCAGGCTAATTCCATGGCATTGCTTCATTGTCCACAGAGGTCACTATTGAAACCTAAGAAAGAACTATTTAAATGCTGTTTACCAYTTCAGATAATTATTTAAAAACCCCACAAACCCAAACCAGCAGTTCTAGAGATGAGTATTTTTTTATAAAGCTGATTCTATCTCACATTTCATGGATTGACTTTTTCACTTGTTAAGGGAGCTATAGATATTCTCYAAATTGATAAATCTGTTTCTGCTTCGGGGCTCTGGCTCTGTTTGCAGGAGCTGTGAACTGGAGCAGGTTTCTTGGCAGATTTCCCTGTTTGGTTTCTGTGTGCTGGGGTTTTGGCTGTGGAGAGCAGCAGTTGGATGATTCACATCGATTAATGTTCTCTGTGGGTTAATGAGCTGTTTGAAATGCATCTGGAGATAACATTTATTATCCTAAATAGCCTCTTCCTTTTGGTCTGGCACAGCCATCCAATGGTGCTGATGTTCCTTAGGAGCAGGTCTCAATAGGCTTTTGTGCTGGGTCAGGGTGTCCCGGGAGGGGAGGTTTCACCGTGAATTTGGGGTTTTTGTCCAATCTGAGCAGTTGACCACGAGGTGTAGATTTGRGAGCAGCAGCCCTTGGAGCAGGGGATTGCTGGATGATGTTGCTGGAGTTACTCTGCCTTCTCACACAGCTCATCCCCCTTGCAAAGAGCTGTTACATCTCTGCTGAGTTTTTGATGAATTTGGAGATAAAAGGACTTACTTTGGACCAGCACACACCATGCACAGCCCACTCTGCCTTCAGCACTCAGAGGGGGTATATTATTCAGGAAAATCCTCTTTGCTGTGTGTGCAAGCACAGGTCTGGGAGCAAAGGGTACCAGATGCCTTCCCAAGCTAAAGCAAAGGGGTGTTGGGAAGTTGGRATGTGTAACCTCAGCCATGCCTTCACTCACRGGTAAATCACCTGAACCCCCTGCGYAGTGTGTCCTGGGGCTGCTCAGCTGGAGAGGGGGGGTTTGAGTGGATCAAATAACAGATTCATCCCCTTCCTTCCTCAGTGTTTTCTTCTACAAGGTTTTGTGCAAAAAGTCCTGAAATTGACTTCTTTTTCTCTCCTGTCTTTTGTAGAGTAAAGGTGCAAGTGCAGGGAGAGAATGGACAGAGCAGGAGACACTGCTGCTGTTRGAGGTGAGTTCATGAGGCCAAACCAAACGGCAGGAAACCAAAACAGGAGGGATAATTCAGGCTTTAAAAATCTACATGTAGGTTATAAATTTTGTGGCATTAGATGACAACTGCCATCATGGCTACAAGAGTGTTGCTACCAAAAAGATGGCAGAACACCTCTGTGAGAGGGAGGCTTCCTGTGTTTAAGGCTTGGTTCTAACTTGCACCTGCAAGCCAGAAATAAAGCATTTAAGAACTTTATATATAAAGTCAATAAGAGGTTTGGCAGTGCAGAGAGGTGTTTACATTCAGCAGGACTTCCTGACACTATGAAATGTAAGTAATTCATAGTGGTAAATAATTCAGGTAATGGTTTGCCTGCCACTCAGAAAAATCTTTGGRAATTCTGGTGCTCCTTCCAGTCCCTGGTCATGCCGTAGCTTAGGGAAACAGCTCCTTGTGGAATTTGGAATGGTTAAGAAACAGCTGAGGCCACTGAGAAGGGAAGTTCTTTGGTAGCTCCGGCATCCCATCCAACTGTTCCTGCATTTGGGGTGTTCTTTGAGCTTTTCCTGGAAGTGTACCAAAAAAATCCCCAGGATGATTCCATCAGGTACCTTACAGTAAGCTCCAGGAGCTGCTGTGGGTTGGTTTCATGTGAAGCTCTGCAGCCACGTAGTGATGGTTGGATCTCCTGGACCTTCAGTGGGGATGGAAACCCTCCAAGGAGCTGCAGAGGCCTGTTCTGGGCTCTCACATCAGGGCAGCTGTTCTGTGCTTCAGCAGAAGAATCTCAGTGGCCTGAAGTTATTGAAAGTGCTGCCATTTCCTTTAAAGAAAAGATCTTCCCCCCAGCTTTGCTTTCACAGGAACATTCTCTTGATGTAGAGGGCTGATTCCTCTCTTTAAATGTAATTCAGAGTTCTAAGAATTCCAGTCTGAGGGTTCTGTTTTTGTTGGGTTTTACTTGGAGAGCTCAAAGCAAACTGCATTTGCTGGGTTGTTGCAGCTTTTTTGTCTTCCTATGTGTCAATAAGCCCATTGAAAAGTTAATTTCCTGGGGAAAAGGCTGGAGGATGGACCTGTGTCAGTGCCAAAYCAGCAGCTGTGATTCAGCCTTCACACATATGGAATGTGGCCATCAAACAGCTAAATCTCTTTTTTTTTCTGTTTATTTTAGGTTGATGTTCACTGTTTAGCCAATAATTTTATACTGGCACATGGAAAAAATTTGCTTATAGGGTGTAAACAGCTGTTTTCCAYAGCATTGTTGTGGGGAGAAATAAGGCTAATTCTCTGATATACTGCCTTCTTTCCATTATTATTTATTAAAATGTATTATTTAAACATTTAATAGTATTATTATTTAAAATTAATTGGTTTGTGTGTTTTTAGCTTATGGTCATACACTGCCCATTGTAGCCTAAGGAAATAATGCAGTGACATATTCTGTATTTAAAACAAACCAAAACCTCCCTAAATCTTGAGATTGCAATTCTGTTTAATGAGTTTAAATTCATAATGGTTTTGTTCCTCCTTTTTCGTGTATTTGCCCTATGAATAAATCAGTAAAGAGTATATCAGTTCAAGCATAAGTAATTCAGCTGTAACAAGCCAGCTCAGTCCAATTAAATCCTCAGGGTAGCTTTGGGCAAATAGATATGCAGTGAAGTTCCAAATAATAAATCGTATCTGAAATAATTATTGGCCTTCTGCCTGTTGACTGTATAATTTGGGGGAGGAAATAAAGTTTTCCTCTGCAAACCACCCTCCCTGCACAGCCCCCTCTGTGTCTCCACGGCTCAGGCAGAGTTAAGTGCATTTTCAGCTATTTTTAGGAAGGACAGTTATTGTGAGCGAGGGTTTGTCTGGCAGGAAAACAACAGGCGGGGAAAGAGAAGGAGCAGAAAGCAGAAATTCGGGGATTTGAGAAGCAGAGCTGATCTCATTGGGATTGAAAACAGAGACAGGGACTGAGAGCCCAGAGATGAAATTGGGGAAAGGGAAGTGCAGGCTGAACAGGCTGTTCCAGTGAAGGTGTTACATCTTCTAGGCCTTTGCAGATCGAGGAACTCTGAGCAGGAAGCTGCTGGCTCGGCTTGGATCTTCCACTTKTGCCTGGGAGGTGCTGAAACCCCAGCACAGCACAGGAGCTTTGTGTCCCTGTGTGCTCTGCTCTCCCACCTGGGGTGTTTCCTCCTCRGCAGATCCAGCCCAGCTCTGAGTTCCTCCTCCTTGCTTTGAGAGTTAAATCAGTCTGGAGGTTGAGACTGACCCTGAAGGTTGAGATTTCTGRGACTTCTCAGCCTTGTGGGAGAGATTTACTGGGGGAAACTCATTTTCACRTTGAACATCTATTGCCTGGATCTCAAGTGCTTTTTTGCCTTTTCTGGGTGGCTGCACCATGAATCGTCTCAGAAACTTAAAAGTTAATGGTTCAGGAGATGTCAGTATTTATTTTATACTGTCYACATGCTTCACTAAAACAATTTTCAGGGAAAAAATGGCTTGTTAAGGAGTAATAATTTATTAGTCTGTGACTTGGAGGATTTTACAGGATTAATGTGTTGGTTTCTCAGGAACTAGTGCAGGAGTTCAGTGGCTCATTGTTCTTAAATTGTATGAAGACTTTTCTTGAGAAAGTTTAAAAATTACTGAAATTCAGAATAACATCTTTGATATAATCTAGAAGTTCTCACTTTACCGAGTGCCTTATCTACCCGGTAGTGATTTGTCAGCCTGGATGCCAACAGAAATTACACTGGTGCACAGCTCCTGGGGAACTGGTCTCTCCTGGCTTCAGGATGGGGGATRGATTTGCCTCTTTTCCCCAGGTGTATTGGTTTGGTGCTTTTCCACTTCAGTAACATCTGTTGGATCTAAAGATTGAATTTCACCATCACAGCCAGTCTGTATGTAAGGAATAAATCCTGTTCTTGCCCCAAAGAGCTTTCTGTGYTCAGGGAGGGAACACAAGAGCCCTCAGGGGGAATGATGGGAATTAAAGAATTGGGAGACTTGGTAGGTAAAGGAAATTTAGTTCTCTGTGAAAGCAAAATGAGGAAACAGCTACTGTGCAAATAGTAGTAAATCCCAAATTTTGTGACAGTTCTTTCTGATAYAGTAACAGTGTGATGATCCCTGTGGCTTCAGTGTCACTGAGATCCCAGGGAAATGTCTGTATTTCTTATGCAGATAATTTTGACAATTTTGACACATAATAGTGTGATGCCAATGTCTCGTTCCATCCCCACACTAAGGAGTTTGGAAAGTCTCTTTGTCCAAAGCAGAGCTGTTTGCCTTTTGCAGGCGCTGGAGATGTACAAGGACGACTGGAACAAGGTGTCGGAGCACGTGGGCAGCCGCACTCAGGACGAGTGCATCCTGCACTTCCTGCGCCTGCCCATCGAGGATCCMTACCTGGAGAACTCGGACGCGTCGCTCGGCCCCTTGGCCTACCAGCCCGTGCCCTTCAGCCAGTCGGGCAACCCCGTCATGAGCACCGTGGCCTTCCTGGCCTCYGTGGTGGATCCACGCGTGGCCTCRGCCGCCGCCAAGGCCGCCCTCGGTATGGGATGGCCCCGAGCCTCGCYGTGGTTCTGGGTGTCCCTCCAGCCAAAGGGCGTCAGCGTCCTTGGTCAYGAGTAAAACACAGAAATTGGGGTACAGTTCATGTAGGGAGAGCTCTGCTATTCCCAGCTTTGTGCTCTGCTTTCCTGAAATCCTCAGTCTGCAGCCCTGGTCAGGCACAGCTGGRATGTCATGTCCAGTTCTGGGCTCCTCAGTACCAGAAGGACAGGGAGCTACTGGGGARGGTCCAGCAGAGGCCACAGAGATGTTCAGGGCTCTGGAGCATCTCTGATGAGCAGAGRCTGCAGGARCTGGGCCTGGTCAGTCTGGTGCAGGAAAGGCTCGAGGGAATCCATCAATCCCGACAAATCTCTCCAAGGGGTKCCAGGGGATGGTGCCAGGCTCTGCTCRGYGGTGCCAGTGACAGRACAAGGAGCAATGGCCACAAACCRAARCACACCAAGTTCCACCCAGCAAGAGAAAGAGCCTCTTTCCATGGWRGGGGCAGAGCCCTGGAACAGCTGCCCAGGGAGGGTCTGGAGTRTCCCTCTCTGGAGACATCCCAACCCCCCCTGGACATGTTCCTGTGTMACTKCTCCAGGTGACCCTGACATRGCAGRGCTTGGACTGGGTGATCTCCAGACCCTCCGAATGCAGGCTCTCTGTGAAGCTGGAGTGGCTCCAAAAGGCCACTAAGTGCTTGAGAATGGCCAGTGTTCCTTCTGCTCTCCCTGCTCCTGATGTGATTGCCCMTGGTGCTTGGTGTTCCTCTGACCCCTGTCACCAGCTCAGCTCCAGATAAATTCAGTGTGTGTCTTCCAGTTTTCCTGTTCACCTGTGTGAAATTACCTGCCAGAGATCCTAGAATTCCCAGATTGGATTGAGTTAGAAGGGGCGTTAAAGGGATCTCCTGTTCCACCTYCTGCCGTGGACAGGGACATCTTCCACTGGAAGGTTCGAGTCTCAAGTGGACACTGGATGTGTSCACTTGATAAAATAGTTCCTTTCACTTTTTTCCTTGTTTTTCCACATCAAACACAATTTAATATAATTGGGAAGAGACTCYTTTCTACCCCATCTGAGAGACAAAATCAACTATCTCATGTGACAAAAAGGAATTCAGATATTTGAGAATTCCCTTTGGCCCAGGGTTTTACCCGCACATCGATCAGAGAAAACATGACTTCATTTGCTGCAAAAGCCCCAGAATCTGACTTTTTCTATGCCCTGTCCCACAGAGGAGTTTTCCCGAGTCAGAGAGGAGGTGCCCCTGGAGCTGGTGGAAGCCCATGTGAAGAAGGTGCAGGAAGCAGCTCGAGCCTCTGGGAAGGTGGATCCGACCTACGGCCTGGAGAGCAGCTGCATTGCTGGCACCGGCCCCGACGAGCCCGAGAAGATGGGTGAGTGCTCCATCCCCACACAGGAGTGCTGCAGATGGGATTCCTGGGGGCATTTTCCCCTGAGTCACGATAAACCTTGAATTTGCTCCAGCAGGAGATGGACCTTGTGGGTAAGGACAGGGGAGGGATCGTTCACTTCTGATCGCTGCAGGGTTGACCTGGACACTGAGCTGAGGAATTTAAGARTAGCTGGAGTTTTAGGAGTTACTTTCCTGTTCTCACTGCGTGGAAATAGTGCTGCTTGCAATGCACAGATTGCATCCAAAATGTGTGCAGACCAAAAATACCAGAGCAGAGCATTCCATTCATTGGGGTGTTGGAGCAGTGGGAGGATATTGCCTTTGCAGTGTTAAGACAAAGCAAACGGATGTGGGCAGTGGGTTTTAAGGTGAATCTGGTTCTCTGAGTGTGTTGCTCCCTGTGGAGGCAGCAGGAGAGGAATTTCTGATTAAGTGCTGGACTGGCACATGATAATCCCCATGATAATCCAGTTGTGGCTCTGGCTGTGCTGGAATTCTGCTGGGCATTACCTGTGTRTGTTAACTGGCTCTGGTTTCATTCCTTTTGTGTTCAGCAAATACTCTGTTATCAGGTCTCTTCTCTGAAGCCCTGGTTGGTGCAAATGGGTTCATTGTTACTGTGGAGTGCAGCAGCAGCTCCCTGGGAAGGGAAGCCCTGTGCATCCCTCTCTCTTGGGCCCTGGTGGCTCTCCTCAGCTGGAGGAGCAGACACTGTTTATTTACTGCATACCCATGGCTTCCTCAGGCTTTGCTCTCCTCRTTTGGGTACAGCTCTACCATCTTGTCACTGTTATTTCCCTCTCAGCMCTGTTGGCTCCTGCTTTGTTCAGCTTCTCACAAACGATTTTAGTGAATTTGGTGACTGGACATGTAAAGGCATATCTGGCTTTGGGTGAAGCTGAGCAGGATGTGATGGAGCTTGACTGCGAGGCTGGATTTGGGATGTGCTCCTGCATTTCATAGCTGACCTGCTGTYACCCCATCCAGGGACATGAGCAAGGTGCCAGATTGTGGGATGGGATCATAAGGGGCTGTGTTTGATGCTGTTCACTTATCAACTGCTACTCATGGAGGGAGGCTATTTATAGCACCTAATGTCCATTRCAAAACTACCCTGTAAATTAGATTTCAAAATGCCATTTAACTCACCAAGATAAATTTTAAATAGAAAAGAAGCAAACAAACCACTCAGCCCTTCTGTCACATCTCTCAGTTCTGCACTCAGTGGGACAGACTTGCCATGAGGCASCTCAGTGCTTTGGGCTGATGTGCATTGTGTGCTGGAAAGGGAAGAGAAACATCTGGAACATCTGCTGCTCCCTGTTCCTTAGAGCTGCCTTGCTCAGAGCTGACAGCAGGCGTTGAAGCTCTGCTGGAAGGACGAGGCTTTGGGGTTTGTTTACAAGTCAGCTATAAACCAAATCCTGGTGTTACTCCRTCTGGGGCTGAGTTTGACTTCATAGTTATTTAAAAATAAGGTCAGCTGAAGTCAAACTTTCCTTCCAGTCTTCRTTCCTCTTTCCCATATTCTCCCAGTACAGGTGTCCCTGTGGGATGTTCWGAACCTAACAGGATCATTTAGGTTGGAAAAGGTAGATCCAACCTGTGCCTGATGCCCCACCTTGTCCCYAGCCCAGAGCACTGAGTGCCATTTCCAGGCATTCCTGGGATACCTCCAGGGGTGAAGACTCCTTCCAACACCCCCCTGGGCAGCTCCTTCCAATGCCTGACCCCCATTTCCATGGAGAAATTCCTGCTGATGTCTACCCTGAGCCTCCCCTGGCCCAGCCTGGGGCTGTTTGCTCTTGTCCTGAACGTGTCCCACTATAACACATTTGCTGCTTCAAGTCCCCAGCCTGACCCTGGGAGTTTTCCCCATTGCCAGGCTGTAGGTTGGCCCTTTTTGGCCCCTTCTCTGGGAGTATTTGGGCACAAGTTGGGAATGGGGACTCTGAAGTGCCTGTCACTCACTGGTGGGGRTCTCAGGGCAGATGCCCACCCCACAATTAGTTCTGAGCGAGTGGCGTGGGGAGCTCCAGCCCAGCCCTGCCCCAGCGTCGTTAATGCGATTTGTACTGGGCTGTGACTAATGGAATAAATTAGGACAGGAGCAGATGGTTCTCCCTGGGGGAGCTGCTCAGCCRCACTGAACTGGGTCACTCAGCAATCTGTGGTGCCTCCCACCCCCCAGAGCTGGGCACGGGGGGCACGGGGACTCTGGGTGTCCATGGCAGAGACTGTCCCGTCAGCCGGGGCTGTGGGTGTGCTCGGACACCTGGGGCATTGGATTGTACCTCAGTGCAACTGTGCAGGGATAAAAAGATCTGCTTGGGGTTCCAGATGGGAATTAAAGTTCACTGTTACATTGTCATAGAATCAAAGGATGTTGGGATGGAAATGTCTTTAAAGCTCATCCCATTCTACCCGCTGCCATGGGCAGGGACACCTCCCACTGTTCCAGGTCACTCCAAGCCCCAATGTCCAGCCTGGCTTTGGACACTKCCAGGGATCCAGGGGCAGCCACAGCTGCTCTGGGCACCCTGTGCCAGGGCCTCCCCACCCTCCCAATATCCCATCTATCCCCCCCTTCTTTTGAGCCATTCCCCCTTGTCCTRTCCCTCCAGGCCCTTGTAATGGAATCACAGAATACTGATTTTATATTTAAGTTCAACTGTGGAGAAATAAAAGTATCTGCTTAAGGTTCCATATTAGAATTAAAGTTCATTAGTTGTTATAACTAATGTTAAAATTAGTTGTTGAAATAAAATTACATTAGARCTCCATAATAATTTTAAAACTCTTAATATAGGTGAATTATTGTCAATATGGAATGTGAAAAGCGAAAATGACTGGAACAGATTGGAGAAGCTTAAGTTAATACCCAAGGATCTCCTCTTCTAAGTCTTCATTGTTAGTTTTTCTAAAAGCTGGTGATAATTCCTTTTAAGTTGATAAAGTGAGGCTTCAGTGGAGTTAAGAGGAGACCGGAGTGGTTCAGATGATGTGGTGAGTGTGGTGGACTCTGTCTTCTGCTTTCAGAGAATCCCAGGATGTTTTGGGTTGGAGGGGAYCTTAAGGATGATCCTGTTCCACCCCTGCCATGGCAGGGACACCTTCCACTGTCCCGGATGCTCCAAACCCCATCTAACCTGGCCTTGGACACTGCCAGGGATCCAGGGGCAGCCACAGCTGCTCTGCACAGCCTGTTCTGAGGTTCTAAGCCAGTTCCCCACAACAAATATTAAGACCTTTGTGGGGTTCTGGCCCTGGGCAGGTCACAGAACACGATCACTGGAGCTGCTCTGCAGCTGTGTCGGTAAAAATGACCTGAGGGGAGCAAATGAGGATCCAGCTCTTTGGTTTGGGATTAAGCTCCACAGAAGGGGAATATCCAGCACACCTGTGGTGTTTAATAATTTCTAGGAAGTCTTTGTTAATATCTTTCCAGAGGTGCTTAATGACACTGATTTCTCAAGGCAGCCTCTGCAGGGCCTGTGTTGGAGTTACTTGAGCATTTCAAGTCTTACTCCAACAATTATTTCCACTGACACTGGTCCTGGGGGCTCAGACTGGAGCTGCTCTGTGTCAGTGAGTGAGGGAGTGGTTGATTTCCTGCATCCCTACACCCTGTGGATGGTCACGTTTACYATTTGGTGGATGGGTTTGATTCATTCCCAAGCACACAGTCATTAGAAAACCACACAGGGGYACATACCATGAGAATTTGTTTTAGTCATGTTTGGCAGGGTGATTTCTCTCCTGCTTTCCAGGGTGAGAGCGCTGAGATGATGGAAACATTCGTAAAGCAATGGATTCTGGAGCACTTCCTTAGCCTTGGGTGTGTCCAGGTGCCTGGGAGATGGGTCTGCACCACTGGGGGRTTGAGCCCATTGATCCTCTGTGCTATATTTGTGTGGCTCACACAGAAGCTGCTGCAGCTTTCCCACCTCCCCCAGCAGTTTTTCCAGGTCCTCAGGCTTCCCCATGGAGCCCCCCTGTTGCTGAGCCCCCAGGCTGTGTGAGGCAGAAACAGAGGCAGCTCTGGTGGCTGCGCAGCTCTGATTTATTGTGGGAAATGTAAATGATAGTTTAGATAACAGCATCATTATCATACCCAGAGCCAGGATATTTCCACAGCTATAGTGAATTTCCTCTCAATTAAATATTAATACTCCAGCCTGGCTTCGACAGGTTGTGTGTTGCCTCAGTGCAAACAAAAGAGTCTGGGATGTCTGGAGGGCATCTTTAAACTGTTTGCTGAGCTGGAKCTCAGGCAGGTGACTCTGCTTTTGTTTGGAGGGTTTTGTTTGCTCCTCTCAACACCGGAGGTTCCAGATCTGCTTCTTCTACACCTCTTTGGTAATGCAGGGAATTCTTCGCAGGAAGATGKTTCATAGGTTTCCTTGTTGACCTAAAGTCCATTTAAGTTCTCTATGAAGTTACTGAACTTGGACAGAACTCAACTCCCAGTTCTTCCTGTGTTAGAAAAAACAGCTCAGTGTTCTTGGAGATAATGTGCAAAACAGAATAAAATTCCAGAGAAACAGAATACTTGCTAATTCAGGTGGAAAGAGGGGCTAGGAGAGGTGATGGTTCCTCGTCTCCAAGTGATTTCTCCCTCTGTGGTGGCACACAACCATCTGCCTCTTCCTGACCTAAGAAATGTTCTTTCTCTCTGGGAACAAGGGACAGGACCACCCTTTCTGAGGAAGAGAAAACAGCCTCAGGCTGGGCCAGGGGAGGCTCAGGGTGGACATCAGCAGGAATTTCCCCATGGAAAGGGTGGTCAGGCCTTGGCAGGGGCTGCCCAGGGAGGTTTGGAGTACCCATCCCTGGAGGTGCCCAAAGAATGCCTGGACGTGGCACTCAGTGCTCTGGGCTGGGGACAAGGTGGGCRTCAGGCACAGGGTGGACTCGATGGTCTCAGAGGTGAATTCCAGCTTTAATGATTCTGGCATTCTGTGATYCCTGATTCCCCTCATCCTGCAAGGTGCAATACCAAACCTGCTSAAGAGAATTCCAGAGCATCTTTGGTGCAGGGGAAAGGGATTTCAGGGGCTTTCTCCTTAAAGTCAAGGCTTCCCCCTTTGTTGCAGGGACATGGATCTCCAACTGATAAATTCCTCTGGGGTGTATTTTCATTAAGCTCATTAGATCACACAGGAAAATCAGTACAGTTGTATTTGTGTCCATGCCAGGGGCTGGAGGCAATTCTGTCCTAGCTGTGCAGAAGGTCAGCAGTGTTGTGGGCTTTGTGTGATCCTTTCATTTTGGAATTGGGGATTAAGTTGTACCAGACTCAGCCATTTTCAGCTACTTCTGGAGTAATTTCTTCATGGAAAGMGTATTAAATATTACAAGGGGCTGCCCAGGCAGGTGGTGAAGTCTGGAGGTGTCCAGGGAAGGCCTGGATGTGGCACTTGGGSCTCCGGGCTGGTGACAAGGTGGGCATTGGGCACAGCTTGGACTCGATGATCCCGAAGGTCTTTTCCAGCCTTAWTGACTGTGGGAGACTTGAAGCAGCCTGTGGTTTGGAACCAAAAACCTGCTTCCACCCAGGCAAACCCATTCCCCTCCCCCCCTAAAGTAATAATCGCTAATTTAATGTGCCCTCCCTTGCTGGTGTGTTGTCCCCCCGTGGGACCCGGTGGCCCTGGGAGCGGCAGCCACCGCGCTGTCACTGCGCGTCAGGGCTCTGCAGCTGATGCAGGAAAACACTTTTCAAAACCCATTGACTCCAACCTGTCTGAAGTTGTCAGCCTAATTTTAACCTGACATTTATTGCTGCAGCCAGAACCAGAGAAGCGAGGTTAAATCAGGCTGTTTGCAATAATCTTGGTGTCACACGTCCCTTCCTTCTGAGGGTGTCCCTGGCAATGGGAAGGAGCATTTGGGTTTGGGTGGTGTCCATCAACGTGTCCTGACACAAGGGAGGATCCAAGGGCACTTTGAGATGCTCTGTGTGCTTTTTCTTGAGAAAATTCTCTCTGAAGAGCGGAAGGGAAGCACTTTGTCTTTCTGGGATGTCCTGTTTGTTTGGAACTCCAGCCTGACATGAGGGGGCAGCCAGGGGTGGGGCTCCTCCCAAGGAACAGGTACGGGACAGGAGGAAACAGCCTCAGGCTGGGCCAGGAGAGGGGCAGGGGGGAAACCAGGAGGAAYTTCCCCATGGAAAGGGTGGTCAGGCATCGGAACTGCCCTGGAAGGTTTGGAGACACCATCCCTGAAGATCTCCAAGGAAGGCCTGGACATGACACTGAGTGCTCTGGGCTGGGGACAAGGTGGGCATCRRGCACAGGGTGGACTTGATGGTCCTSAAAGGCTTTTCCAGCTTCAGGGACTGAGATTCTGTGACCTTCCTCCACAGGAGCAGCATCAGTCCATTAACAGCTCCTGCCATGGTGTATGGATTGGTCTCTTGGCCAGAGCAGCTGTGACTGCCCCATCCCTGGATGTGTCCAGGACCAGGTTGGACATTGGGACTTGGAGCATCCAGGTGTCCCTGCCYATGGCAGGAGGTGGCACTGGCTGGTCTCAATGATCCTTCCCACCCAAGAGTGTAAATTTGGGGATTTCTGTGCAGTATTTCTTTGGTTTGAGCTCCACCAACCTGGGCACACTCACAGTGTTCTGCACTTTGTCTCCCCTGTTTTTCCTTGAAGGATCGATTCCAGCTTTCTTTGTAAATCCTTCCCTTTCCTGGAAGGGATGACACTTTCAAGCCCAGTTTGGAACTCTGCTTCTAGGCTTGAAAGAGCTGTCTGACAAAATCTAATCGAGATTTTTCCTGTGACATTATTGGGTCACTAAATCCTAACTCTGAGATAAAACTTGTGAGGAAGAATGTCYCCAGTCTCCCTAAATTGAATTATGGTGGCAGATAGTTCAGATAAGTGGGTTTATCATCTTAAAATAGGCCATGAGGAAAAATATTACCCTTCAGTCAGACATTTTAGTTGATTTTTCTTATATACAGAAGGGACTTGTGTAAAAATTTCTCTACAGAGCTGTTGCTGTTCAAGGAGAGCACTTTGTACCTTGTTTTTCCTCAGTGTAGCATGCAGGAATTAGCAGGAAAATGAGGATTACTGAAAATGAACCCCCAGCACCAGCTGATGTCTTCAGAAGCTTAGAGATGGATCAGGGCTTGTCACCAGCATCGCCCCGGTCCAGCATTTAAATAAGCTCCTTTAATGCTCCTGTACATTAAATTGTGAAATCCTGGGCCAGGACTATGAGGTTCTGCTTCCTCCTGTCCCACCTTTCAGAGCCAAGGATAAATTGGTATTTCTTGGACTTCCTAGCAATCCAACAAAATATCAGGGATAGTAGGACATTATGCAGACACCTCCATGGTGTTCCCATGGCTGAGTGTTTGCCCTGATCTCTGGGACCAGCTGTAATTGGAGGAACATTTTAAATCAGCAATATATATTTATATATATTTATTGCTTTTTATAAAGCAATAAATGAATGGGCTGAGGGCTGTGTCCTGAGCACAGGGATGCACTCCCAGCTCTCCCACTGCTCCTCCAACGAGGTGCATCCATCCAGCACCAGGGACAGGGGCTCTTTCATCATCAGCTTCATTATCTCTTCTTTCCTCGTGTTGGTGTCACTAACACCAGCTGTCCTTGTCTGCTCTGGTGTGAAACTGGAGTGAGATGGAGGTGCCCAAGGCCAGSTTGGCCAGGACAGGGCTTGGAGCATCCTGGGCTGTGCAAGTTCAGAGCTGAGAGTGCCTTGAAGCCCCTGGTGGAGAACAGCAGGTCTTAGTTAACCCCAAAATAAAGAGTGAGCATGATGAGTGGCTGTGGGGCAATTCTAAAATCTTCCCTCTCTGTTTCTCAGATGGAGCTGAGGAAGAGAAGATGGAAACAGAGGCAGAGGGCCAGCAGACAGAGAAGGTGAGTTTGGGTCTGCTGGCATGAGACTCCTGGCACTTCAATCCCAAATTCCTGAGTTTCAGGGTACCTTAAGATGGATGACAGTTGTGCTGGTTTGTGTGCCCACAGGGACAGTTTCCAGCCTCACGAAGCTTATTACTAGTGATTTACCCCAAAATCACAACAGTGAGACATCAGGGGTTGTTTGCTAGTCCTGAGGGAAAAAGGCTGGGCTGGGAGGAGCTGGGAACTGGGTGACACCACAGAGATTGGGATTGGAGCTGCACGAGGAGGTGGGCCTGTGGTGCTCCCTGATTTGGGGTTTCTAAAGTGTCACCTGCCAGGCTTGTCATGGGAAAGTGGCTTTGGCAAATTCCCTCCCACCAAGGCTTTCCAGGACATCCCTGGAGCACCTCCAGTATTTCACAGTCACTTCTCCCCAAGGTGCCTCCAKCTGAGCTGCTCAAGGAGAATCCTCCTCACAGGAACTCTGGGCTGGCTCTGGGACATGGATGTGTTTGTGTCCTGCTGATGCTGTGGGTGATCCACCCTTTCCAGAAAGATCAGATATTTATACACTAATTATCATTATCCAATTCATTCATTATCATTATCCTTTAACCTGTTGATAGTGACCCCGAGAGCACATTTTGGGCTTTTCTGTAACCTGTGTCCACAGACAGGCACCTCAGACTGCAATGAGTGTCTCAGACCTGAACTGGATTAAACTGATATCCTGGAATAAGAGRGTATCAGTTTAATGATTGCTAAATTATTCTAATATATAAATTATTATGATTTTATCTGTTTATATTTTAATATAATGTTGTTTAATATGTATTTTGATACAATTGATATTTTAATTATATCTTTAGGTATAATTTTAATGTTCTTATTATTTATTATTTAACCCCTGCTAACAAATGGGGGTGGCTGTTTCTGGAGTCTGCAGCAACAGGAAATATTTCTTCTTGTCTCCTTCACCAGATGAGGAGTTCAGACTAACCTGGGGCTGATCAGTGCAGCCTTGGGGTTATTTCTCACTCAGTTTTCAGGTAATTCTTCTGCCTCCCTGATAAACTGGTACATTTGGGAAGAGATAAGTGGGGAGGACTTATTCAAGGCTTGGAAATCTGCATATTCSCAGCCATTCCATGATGCTGTGATCTTAGTTAGGATTTTTTGTACCCACAGAGTAACCCAGCTTGGCCTGTTCTTGGTCCAGTTCAGCGTTTACTTTTATTCACATTTTGGGTTTGTTTGTCAAATTTGGCTTAAGCAGCAGCCACCCTTTAAAATGCAATCTCTTCCCTTATGGCAATGAATTCATTTGAAGGTCACAAATGAAGTTAACAGTGAATATCTTCTCTCTCTGCCATTCTCCCCTTTAGGTGGAGAGCAAAGCTGAGAGTGAAATTGAGGAAGGAGAGAAAGTCCCGGAAGGGGAAAACGAGCGGACCACAGAGAAGGAGCCAGAGAGCGAAGGGGCTGCGGAGCCCAAGACAGGTAAGGGATCCCAGCTGTTCCAGTACCCTCTCCAGAGTGCTTGGGACAGGTCCTAAACCCAGCTGGGAATGTTCTCCTGGCAGCCCAGGCTGCTCTGCATTCATCAGAGCAGATTCCACTTTTAACTTCCCTGCAAAGCTCAGGCACCAAATCCCTCCCTGAGCTCCTGGGGCTTCAGCTGAGCTTCCCGGCCCTGGGCATGGGGAAAGGAATTGCAGCACCAAACGTCCTATGGGGCATAGAAATTGGGGGGGGGTTGCCCATATTCCACAGCATTTGGTCATTTTGGACGCAAAGAAGTAGAACTGCTGGAGGTGTTGAGGGCTGGATRGGGCTGGGAGCAGCCTGGGATAGTGGAAGGTGTCCCTGCCCATGATAMAAGGTGGCACTGGATGGGCTTTAAGGTCCCTTCCAGCCCACACCATTCTGGGATTCTCTGATCTGTTCTTCCCTTGGAAGTTGATATTTCAGCATCCCTGGGAAGTGATGCAGAGCCTGGATTTTGACAGGCTTAGGAGTAACATTTTTTACATAAAACCTTATTTATTTGTAGCACATTTCCCTCTGTGATTCCCTCACAGAATCCTGGAATGGTTTGTGTTGGAGGGGACCCTAAAGCTCATCCAGTCCCACCCCCTGCAATGGGCAGGGACACCTTCCGCTATCCAAGGTTGCTTCAAGCCCTGTCCAACCTGGCCTTGGACACTTCCAGAGATAGGAATGGATATATTGCTTTTTTCCTACAACTTAGACCAGTTTTTTAACACCAGGCAGAAGCAGCAGCATTTGAATTTGACAGAGCTGATTTGGAAATGATGGGGGAAGCTGATGGCAGGTACTGAGTCGAGATGATGGGAATGAAAAGCATTTAAAGTTGCCCCATTTGTTGGATCAGATCGTCTCAAACGGGGGTTCTCCTGTCAGCATTTGGACAGGGAGCAGTGCTGGAACTCATAATTAGTTAATAAGTGCCCAGCTAATTAGCATGGTGCCCTCCTACCCTGGTAACGCGCGTAACGGCCTGGGCTGGGAATGTCTTGCAGAGGAAAAGGAGGCGGAGGAGAACAAGGAGAACGTTGATGGCAGCAAAGACAAAGAGGCCGAGGCTGGCAAGAAGAAAGTGGAGCACGAGATCTCGGAAGGAAACGTGGCCACAGCTGCAGCTGCTGCCTTGGCCTCTGCTGCCACCAAAGCCAAGGTGAGTGCTGTCCCAACACCCTGGGCTTGGGGACAGGGACAGCAGAGCTGTGCCTGAAGAGCTGCTTGGTCACAGAGCTGCGGAGTTGCCTCCAGTCCCTGACACCCTGCAGGAGCAYGAGTGCTGCCTTCAGTTCTGCTGCCTGAGCCCCTGGGGAGATAAGGAACCACTGTAATGGTGCAGCTCCRTGGGTGATCATGGACTCGATGAGCATCCCAAGGAATAGCCCCAACGTGGGTGTGGTTTCTTGGCAAGCCTTTTTGTGTGCTGGGGGTCTGGCTGTGGTGCTGAGGATGCAGATGTGGGGGACAAACCCTTTGATGGCCTTTTCTGCTGCCTGAGGTCTCCACTCTAACCCCTGTGCTGGCCTCTGGAACAAACCCAGTGGGATGTTCGGTCCTGGCGCTGCAGCTTGTACAGACACCTGGGTGATTTCATGTTTTGTTCAGGGTTCTCTTGAAGGCACGTTCATGTCTTCCCTTAAACTCCTGTTTGTGTGTGGTCTCTAATGAGCTGTGTTGAATCAGCTTTTCTTTACCCTGTAATTACTAATTGCACGTTTCTTGCCTTTTCTTCTTGCAGGAACCACACTGCTTTCATTGCTTTAAGAGTATCTTTTTCAAATCTGTTTTCTCTTTACAAATTTCCCCAGATTCAAGTTTTAATTCGGATTTTTAATCACGTTTGGATTCAGTGCCACATTCCACGTCCACCTGCTTTATGGAAACCAAGAGCCAGGCATGGGTGGTGTTTATTCCAGGTGGATTTCCATGGATAGAATGAGGTGTTGAGTGTTGTATTGACTTTCTACTCTGATCTTTGACTCTTCAGACCTTTTCCCCAGCTGCATCCCCCAAAGTGAGGATGGTGGGTGATATCATGTGCAGCCCCTCCTTTTGAACCTGGGAGATTGAGAGTGTTTTAGTTCTTACCTTTCAAACCAGGTTATAAAATCCCACATGGCAGACAGCTCCTTGTCCATTAAAATCCCAAATGGCAGGCAAAGCGGAGGTTCAGTATTTTGGTGAAGTGCAGGGTCCAAAGTGGCTCCCTCATGAATCACTTTGAACATAAGGGTGACTCTCAGTTCATCAGACTCGCAGCTCTCCTCCGCCAAGTTGGGAAAGCTGTGTGTGTTTAAGGCGACGTGGGATTTAATCTGTGTGTTCTGGAAGGCCACTTGCTCCAAATGAAGATGAGCTGCTGCTCCCCTTCCTCTGGAGATAACGAGCTGGAGGGAGCAGGGACCTGGCTGATGGCACATTTCATTATGGCAGTAATAATGTTCTGGAAGAGCTCTAGCTTTCCATTACAGGGAATAATGTATTGTAATTAGGAGGTTGACACTTCAGAGTAGAATTCAGGTTGAACAGGGATTTCTCTTCCCACTCACTTGAAAAGCCAGGCAATATTAGAGCTTTGGGTGGTCTGTGCCTTGTCTGAGGGAGTAATTAAACTCCTCATCATAAACTTGAGGCCTGGTCATGTGAGAAGCTGTTACAAAGGTGTTTTCCAAAATCCAAAAGGATTTTGTCGGAGAGGAATATTGCAGTTGGATTCTGAGGATAGGCAGGGGTCAAACACAAGTGATTGAAAAGAGGGTTTGGTTTATTCGGGGTTTTTTTTCTTGTTTTTTTTCTTTTGGGATCAGTGGTTTCACCAAGAAATTGTGAGTTCTGCTATTTGAGAAATGGTGAATGTGAATGTTCAGGGTGAGGCCCTGTGTTTCATACAGAGCAACAATTAAAATGTGTTTTTACAGGTTCTGGCTTCTGAACAAGCAGTATTTGAATTTAAGTCCCTTGTTCTCATTTTTCTCTCAATGGAAACCCAGTATATSCTGGTTTTTCCTTTCTGTGGAAAGGATCCCTGGTGGATCCTGTCCTGTGCTGCTTCTGCTCTGCTCCAGCTGGGACTGAGCTGGAGAAATTCTGCTCTCGATCCATCACTTCCCCCCTTCCCAAAACAACCACTCTGGTCCSAGTTTGGCCTCCTGCCGGACACTGATCTCATGATGCCCTGAATCCCTGTTCAGAGGCAGCTGGGGCTGAAGAGATCTTTCCTAGAAGGTGCTAATCCCAGTGATGCAATGGGATTTTGAGGAGAGCTGGAGAGGGACTTGGGATGGAGTAACAGGAAAAGGGAATAGCTTTCCACTGCCAGAGGGCAGGGATAGATGGGATAGTGGGAAGGAGTTGTTCCCTAGGAGGGTTGGGAGGCCCTGGCACAGGGTGCCCAGAGAAGCTGTGGCTGCCCTTGGGTCCCTGGCAGTGTCCAAGGCCAGGCTGGACATTGRGGCTTGGAGCASCCTGGGACAGTGGGAGGTGTCCTTGCCCATGACCAGGGGTGGAATGGGATGATCCTTAAGATCCCTCCCCACCCAAACTGCTCATGGATTCCATGACTCTTTTTTATAGAAGCATTTGGGTTGGAAAAGCCCTGTAGGATCATTTGCTCATTTATGACTCCAGGCTGGGCCAGGATGGGTTTATCACACATTTCAAATTACCACTGAATTTGTGTTCTGATTTTTCCTCATCTGGAGTTGTAGGGATTTGTCCTTGGCCCACAGAAAGCCCTGGGTAATGCCAGGCTGAGGAACAGCCTCTTTGAGTCTCTCCAGGAAAACTTCAGGGATAACTTCATTTCTAATTGTATTTTGAGACCTGGTCCTTACCTAATCATGTGCTTTGATTTGRTGTTAATCCCATTTCACTGTTAAAATTGCCCATGTGAAATGTCTGGCACAAGATTGTATTACMAGGTGCTTCTCCCAGTCTGAATTTTAATACAAAAATAGTTCCTTTTACTAAGCAGTGTTATTTGACATGAAATTTTCTGTTCTGTCAGCATTGTTTCATTATTTTGTGTGCAGCACTTTAGTCAGTTTTGGAACAGCTGCTGGAATTTCACAGGGATGTGATCTTGGATGAGCTTGGGGTCACTCTGGTTCTCTCAGACCTGATTTAAAACTCACTTTAGAGAGTCATGAGTCCATTTRCCCACATTTACTGAACCCTCCTTCACCACTGGTGGTCAGGGAGGTGAGCTCTGTCAAATGGCACGGTATCACATGGTTTGAGAAATTCTGTTCATGATCAGGGTTCCAGGGAGGTTTTAATGCTGCTTTCCTCCAGCTCGGTGTTTGTCTCAGTTCTCAGCCAGTTTGGGGCCCAGCTCCCTTTGCAGCTGGAGCCGGATCAGCTCCTGCTTTTCCTTTTTTCCTCTTCTCCTCAGCCCTCACCTTTCCCTTCTGACAGCCCAGCCCTCCTTGCCCCCAGCCCTTGGATGTGTCAGGAAGGCTTGGGCACCATGGAAACATCTGTGCCTGTGAAAACACAGCCCCCCAAGCAGACCATGCCAGTTTATTCTCAGGGTATTCTCGTTCTGAACAGCAGGTTTTTAACCAAAACTGGTGGAAGTCATCATGAACACACTTGTCACCCTGTGAGAGTGTGAAACGCTTCTCTGTCTGTCTCATGGATCAGATATATATACATAGATCTGTGTTATTTATGTGTGTATATAAATGGGATAAAGMTAAATCCTTACAAAGAACCCATTTGTCTTTTACTTGAGAAAAAACTGTTTTAATGGCAAAGACACGGCAGTGCCATCTCCCTGTTTTGGGGGTCATTCTGGGTCACAGCCTCCTGTGTGTATCCTGCTGGGAGCTCTTTGGATGACCCACAGCTGACTCCACTGAACAGACCCTTCTCCCTCATTTGCATTCCCTCTGGAAGTGCTGCCTGTGCCCAGTGCTGGGAGGGCTGGGAGGCAGAGCTGCATTGCTCCRAGCATCCTCTTCTCATATCACACCTTCACACCTGTTTATTTGATTAAAAGCTCAATAATCTTCCAAGGGCCTCTGGTTCCCAGCATAAGATTTACAATCAAATTCTGTTTTCTGTCCAGAAGTAAAATAGGATGGCTGAAGCTGGATGCAGGTGGAATTCAATGATTCCCTCTCTCSCAGCCGTTTATTATGCCCAGTTTCACAGAACAGCCCCTGTGTTTCATCCCCAGCACCTGGCAGCTGTGGAGGAGAGGAAGATCAAGTCTCTGGTGGCCCTTTTGGTGGAAACTCAGATGAAGAAGCTGGAGATAAAACTTCGCCACTTTGAGGAGTTGGAAACGATCATGGACCGGGAGAAAGAGGCAGTAAGTGGGAATTTGGGAKTAAATCTCTCCCTGCAAAGATCTGTGTGGCCCAACACCTGGAAAGCCAGCAACTGCAGCTGTTCCGSTCCTTTTTGTGTCCTTTTTCTTCAGCTGGAATCCATAACTCCCTCCCATGGTGGCATTGAGCCCTTTCCTCCTTCATCCAGTGTTTTCTATGTTCCATAAGCAGCACACTGGGGGTATCCTGGATCTGCTTCCTCATCCTTCCTCCAAGCAGGAATGTGGAATTGAGCCTTTATGTGGCCTTTTCATATGGATTGTATCTGACCTAAGAACAGCTTTTCCCTGGAAAGAGTGAAATGGGTGGAACTCTTCCTTCCCTAAGGAGGGAAACCAGCCCTGTCTGCATTTTCTCGCTCACCYAGGTGAAGAGTTGGATCCAAGGACGTAAATCAGGTTTTGGGGGGCATYCTGAGAAGCTCTTGGAAAAGCCCTGGAAATGGGAAGTGGAGGGGGAGTGCTCAGGAGTAACAGCCTCACTTTGTGGTGATGGTGATGATGATGATGGATTTGCCTGAGCTGGGAAGGCAGCAGCAGCTTCAGTAGAGGGGAAGGGAGGAGTGAGGTYAGGACATGGAAGAGATGCTGCCTGGGCCTGGATTACTCAGGCATTTTGAGCTGTTGTGTCACGTCTCATGCCAGAGGCTTTGGAGCTCCAGCTACTTGAAAGGTGACTCAAAACTTYATTTTTATCAGAGTGGACAATTTGTAATTTATTTTTCTGTTGTGCAGCTGCTTTGCTGTCAGTAGGCAGTTATTCTGGATGGGTTGAAGATGTTGATTCATAATTATAGTGATTTCCACATTTTCCTTTCTGTGTGAATTTAGWGGAATTGCACCCCCATTTGGCATTAATGGAATCATATCTCAGGTTGGAAAGGGCATCAGGTCCAACTCCTTCTCCTCACAGCACCTAAAACTAAACCTGTGACCAAGAGCATTGTGTAGACATTGCCTGAACTGTGCCAGGCCTGATGCCATGGYCCCATCCCTGGGGAGCCTGACCACMCTCTCTGTGCAGAAACTCTTCCTGACATCCAATCTAAAGTTCCCCTTAATCACACCAACGGGGTTTGACAAGATGTGGACTTCTCTTGGAGCAGGATGTCAGCAGGAGTTTCTGGATCGCTCCACATCCTCCACCATTTCAGTTTGTGTTTGATTGGCAGCTCAGGAAATGGACCCAACTATTTTGGAAAGGTTCCCTGCAGATTCTTTCTTTGGGGGATATATTCCATTAGTGACAGGGAGGTTTTTTCCTCCCTTTTGAGGCATATGACATTTCCYTTTTTAAAAATGTGCATACAGATTTTCCCCTTGGCTTCCTGGTGGTTAAATTCGGTCTTTTCACCTGTCATTGTGGATATTTAGTGGAATAATTAAAGCAGAAAAACCTYCTTGTTGCCATTGCACACTGTGCCTGTCGCTCCCGCTGCCCTGGCTTTTCCTTGCAGGGAAGGAGCAGGATGGTAAGTGTTGACAGGAATCRGTGCTGCAGACTGGAGGGTGTTACATTTCAGGCAAAACACATTTATTTGTGTTTGAGCTGAGCAGCGTCAGCGCTGYCGGTGCTGAGTGTGGGAAAGCAGGGGCCTGGTGGTGGAGCTTCGCCCACCCAGCATTTCTGATGGCACCTGAAGCTTTGCTGGTTCTGTTCAGGGTGCACTGCCCAAATCCCTGAGGTTGGAAAAGCCCTCCTGGACCATTGAGCCCGAGCTGTGCCTGATGCCCAGTCATTCAAAAATGAAGTGCCAAAAATGTGCCCTGTCCCCAGCCCAGAGCACTCAATGCCACATCCAGTCCTTCTTTGGATGGAAGGACCAAACCTCCCTGGGTAGCCCCTGCTGAGGCCTGACCACTCTTTCCAGGAAGGAATTCCTCCTGAAAGGAAGTTGTGTGCTGGAGATGAGGCTGTAGCTCAGTGATGTGGTCTATGAGGGAACTTTAAGAGTTTGTAGTTGCCCCTCCTTGCGCATCACCTTTACAACAGTATGTAAACGCAGTGCTGCATACTGGAGAGCAGCTCCAAGTTACTGCTGGAGCTCCCACTGGCAAATGTGTTACTGGCAKGCGCTTGGTGCCAGTCTGGGACACCACTGGGGGTTGTTTCCGAGGTGGTGACAGAGCCTGGTGTGGAACTGGGGGTTTGGGCTCTGTACTAGAGCCCAAGCTTAAACTTGGCTCAGTTTTAGCACCAGTTCRTGTTATAACTTGTCTTTCTGTGCCTTTTTTTTCCTCTGTCCACCGTCTTTCCTCATCGCAAGCATAGGCAATGTGTAGAAGGGAAGTTTCCCCCGTTTTCCTTACTCCAAGGTGAATTTTCAGGCACTGACTCCTGTTCGGGGATCGTTGTAAAGACTTTTAAACTGTAGTGGGATGGGGTGCCAGGAAGAGAGCAAAGCAGAGCCACAAAAGGGTCTCAAAGGAATAAAAAAGTGTTGCCTGAGCCTTTGTTTGAGGTCATTTGYAGGAATTCCTCTTGCAGCTGTCTGCCACCTCGGGAATGTTTCCCCACACGCCCCATTTCCCCGTGGGGTGGATTTATCGGGTGCTTCCCTGAGCGGATCAGAGTGTCCGAGGAGAAAGGAGCCAGGGCAGCATGAATAATGCCATTGTGGTCCACAGCAGTCGCTCCACCCCGGCCAGCAGCATGTTTAATTCATGAGCTCGGCCCATCTGGGGCTGCTGAATGCCTGCTCTGTGGAGCTCCCTTCCCGCTTCCCATCCCTGCCTTGTCAGCAGCCAGGCTGCCAGCACCGAGCACTGAGGGAGCTTTGGGATTTTTGGAGAACTCGTGCTAGGTGAGAATCTCCTTGGCAACCTGCTTTGCAGCTGAGTTACGGAGTCTACCTTAAAACACTCGCGGCGTGTTTGTAACCGAGTCACGCAAGCCCCAGTGCGGCTGTCCAAGAGCAATAATGGRGCAATGTGTTGATATTCCTTAAATTAGTYAAATATCACTTCCTGCCCCGGGACACTGACCCATCACACAAATACCCAATRGCAGAACATGATTTCCRTAGCTTTTTTGTCTTTTCACGGAATCCCRGACTGRTTTGGGTGGGAAGGAYCTTCAGGACCAYCCAGTCCCACMCAGTCCCTAGACCAGGTTGCTCAGGCTTGCTCTCTACATGACTTTATAATTAATCCAAGTGTCTGTTTTACATTAATTGGCCTAAATGACATGAGATTTTTTACATAATGCTCTTAATAGTGCAAATCACTGGTGTCTGTCTGCRTGGCATCCAGTTCCTGCACTCAAGGGATGGAGAAGGATCCTGCCTGTGATGCCTGAGTTCCTGCAGCTGCACACACATTCTGCTCTGGGCTTACCCAGAAAACTCCTTGAGATTCCTGCTGTCTCTCATTTCAATGTGCAGAAGATGGAGAGAAAACCCCCAGTTTCTTCCAGAGYTGTGTTATGTCTGAGTTCTCTGTGCAGAGCTCTGTGAGTAACAAGTTGTATTAGTGGGAGGTTTTAGGACAGAACAAGGTGAGTTTACGTGTTCTAGCTGGAAAAAGCTCCAAAGAGCCTTCCCAGAACCTGCTGCAAACATCCACAGGACAGTTTGAATTGGAGTTGGTGGGGTTGGAAGGAGAGGTTCCTTTCCAGCCAGCCCACTGTCTGATTTGCAGGAACACGTTTGAAATACATCATTCCTAAGTTYCCTCTGCCTTTTGTCCCGTTTCTGGCACAGCTGGAGCAGCAGAGGCAACAGCTGCTGACTGAGAGGCAGAACTTCCACATGGAGCAGCTCAAATACGCCGAGTTAAGGGCTCGCCAGCAAATGGAGCAGCAGCACAGCCAGAACCCCCAGCAGCCCCACCAGCACCCCAGCGGGCCTGGCATGAACCCCCTGGGGGCACCAGCACACCCAGGGCTGCTGCCCCACCAGCAGCCCCCGCCCTACCCCATGATGCACCACCAGATGCCACCTCCTCACCCGCCTCAGCCAGGTAAGAGCCAGCAGCAGGGAATTCCTGCCCTGAATCCCTGTAGGAGTGAGCCCCGAGGGAGAGGAGCTGCCAGGGGAGGCTGCCCAGGGGGTGATGGGTGCTCTGGGTTACTGGTTTATAATGGGGCCACTGTCTGACATTTTTTGCTGGAGGGATGAGCTTTGCTTGATTTGCAGCTTCATTTTGGAGCTTTGACCCCCATTCCAGATGAGTTTGGGGAGGAGGTGCCTTATGGAGGGTGTGAACCCCAAAAGTAGGGGATAGGGAGGGCCAGGCTCACCCCAGCAGTGCCAGGGTGGGAGGCAGTGGACACAAACATGAGAAGTTCCTTCCAACCACATGAAAACACCTTTTTCCCTGGGAGGATCATCAGCAGATTGTCCAGGAGGGCTGGGAATCCCTGTCCCTGAAATAGTCCAGCTCTAAAGTAACGTAAAAAAATGGAGCTGCCCCGGGTATCCCTTCCTGATGTTTTTACTTCCTGATGTTTTTACTTTATTTGTACTTCCTTAGATTTGTTTTTACTCTGTAGTCTTGAGTGGATACTCCATCACAACCCCTCTTCAAATGCTCCAGCTCATGGCCCACAAAACCATCTGCAGAAATTAAGGGAAAGGACTGGGACAATTGGCAGAGGCAGGAAGCTCCTTAGGGAACTTCCTTTGCCAGGAGGTGACTGTGAGAGGCTCCTGTGTCCTACCTGGATGTGTTTGATGCCAGAGGGGTCACCTGAAGTCTCCAGCACATCCTCTCCCTCTGGCAGGGAACTTGTCCTGCTCAGGGTTGGGTGTCTGCAGGGGTGGATACTCCTGATTCCCAGGGGTGGGATGATCAGGTGGTGATGGGAATTGGCAGCTTCACTTGCTAAAGGTAACTGAAAATCAAACAACAGTGTCAGCCACATGGGAACCTGTCTGTGGGATTGGACACAGCCAAAGAGGACCTGTTGGCAATTTTCAACTGCTTGACCAAAACCGACTCTAGAAGAAGACCTGAGCAGTTACTAGCCAAAAATTTTAGGGAAGATTTTTCTTAGGCAGCTGCTGAAGAAGCTGGAAAGTTTGGATATCATAATCCAAATAGAATGTGGCAACAAGGAGCTGCAGGAGCAGATAAAAAGTGTTTGGTTTGGGAAGGAACAGAAGGGCACAGGAGAACAGCAGGATTTGCAGGTGACCAGGAAAATGAGAGCCATCTAATCCAACTGGATCTGCAGAGTACTCAAAGTGGATTCCCTCAGCAGGTGCAGAGTACTGGTGGCAGGGCAGGGAGGGAAAAGTTGTTTGCTGAGGTTCAGGCTCACTCTGTTTTTAAGGCTCAGGGAATTCCTGGGTTTCCTATGGACAAAAATCCCTGGGACCGTTTGGGAGCTGGTTTGGTTTTTTTGCTGGAGATGGACTAGRAGTGTGCTAAAACGCGGTGTGGTTTTAGACTCAGATTTAACACCCTGACTCAGTGTGTCTGTTGTGGGGTTGGACAGCTTGGGGCTGYGCACGTGGCCATGAAGGAATAACCTGGGATAGGGAGCAGAGTGAAGGAGGGAATGCTGGCCCATCCACACCCAGCTCTCCRTTCCACGCTGCCGTGGAGGCCAGCAGGGGGACGGGATGGAAGGCCCCGTTGCATTTATTCACTGGTCAGTCCTGGGTGCCGATGTTCTCACATCCTTGGTTCACACAGCCCTGCATTRCTGCAGCCCCTCACACCATCCAGGCTCTCTGCATTGCCAGCCATCCYTCCGGGAGCTTGTCGCAGGAATGTGGGTCTGGTAATTAGTCAGAACATCTCTCTTTCAGATTTGATTAAAGCTGGTCGATAGATTGACTTTTCCAGCAGCACCTCCCCTGCCTRAGGGCGGCAGAGCCCTGGCTGAGGCTCAACACTCCTGGCTCCCCCAGCAGCAGCCAGAGCTGTCTCGTTCCATCCACCCCCAGGACCAGGATCTTCCCTCTCTCCTCCTCTGACAGTTCTCTCGTTGGATGCTTTGGTAAAGGGAAGAAGTCGGGGCCCACTAAGAGTTTGGAGCGAACCATTCTGTGTCTTCAGCCACAGCCCAGTTGATCTTGCCTAGAAAGCAGAAGAGTCTCATTTCCTTCAGTTTTCAGTGGAACTTTGTTAGGAATGCCTGGGGAGTCCACGGGTGCCAAAGCTCTCTGGCTGCACAGTAGAGTTACTCTGACCTGGGGGCAGGGGGAGGAAATGACAAATCGGTGAACTTCACCTTGTTGACCCCACACCTGTGAGTTCCCTCATCAGCTCTGCCCCTGAGTCTCCTGCAGCCTTGGTGGAGATCCCAAAATTTGGAGGGTGTGAGGAGATCATTGAGACCTGGAATGGTTTGGGCCGGACCTTGAGAATCACCCAGTGCCACCCCCTGCCGTGGCAGGGACACTTCCCACTGTCCCAGGTGGCTCCAAGCCCTGTCCAGCCTGGCCTTGGACACTGCCAGGGATGGGCAGAAGAAACGGCCCGGGCAGGAAATCCCAAACCCCTGGCACTGATCCAGAAGCACCAGAGAGGCAGCGGGGCTAGGAATACCTGCCCAGTTCTGCTCAGCTGCCTGGGTTTCACTGCAGACTCTACCTTGGTGCTCACTGGTGTTTCAGACAGGTTTGTGACCTCAATAGTGGCTGAAAGTGCAACCGTGGGTTCAGCAGACCGTGAACAGATCGCGACGTCGGTGGCCTTGCAGTGATTGACGAGAGCTGAAGGGACGGTGGGGAGCACAGGGAGGAAAGGATCTGAGGTGGCATTTGGAGAGGGAAGAGAGGATGAGAAATTGCTGCTCATAGCTTATCTGGGCTCGGGGGCAGAAGCAGTTAAGTCAGTCTCTTAACTAGAAGTTCAAAGTGAGGCTTTTCCCAGAAATACGGTTTTTAGCTTAGATGTCAGTCTGGGCATGGTGGCRAGAACATCTCCAGTGGAGAGTTGGGCTGGAGCCATCTGGAGAGCACCTCCAGCCAAGGGTCACCCACTTCTCCTCGGCATGGCCACATCTGGCTCTGCTGGACTGTAGAATTCATTTTCCCTGAGTTTATTTTGTTCTCCCCTTTGCCCTGGAATGAAAACTTTTTAAATAGGAAAACAAAATTGGATCCCAGTTTCTCTGTGAGAAGCTGCACCTTGTCATTATAATGGGAAATAAAATGCCCAGTTTCTTCCTGTGTTACCACTTTTGGCACTTTATTGATTTCTCTTTGAACGCTGGGCTGGTAATCAGTGGAATGAGAACTCCTGGTTCAGGTGATACTCGTGGTGTGGAATATGAGAAACTTCTGGAAAGTCTCTGAGCAAGAGAGATAGCTGGGAATTAGCCGCTGTCATTATTGACTCTTCTTCAGGTGGGATTTTCACCTGGCAAATCATTTCTGACCTAAGGCAGGAATGGAATGAGGAGGGCAGGACACTATTCCCACCACAGCTGGATAAGCAACTTTAATAGTCTTTTCCTTGATACATTTTACCTCATTTTCTGTCAGTGGTTGAAATACTAACAAAAAAAAAAMAAAAMCTTTGTCAGGAATTTTGGRATCCTGGATTCTCAGCTACTGAGCATTTTGTTATTTGTGGGTTTAAATTCAGTTCCTGGATGCTATTTGCTTCCTTATTGGTGTGGTGACGATTCCAGGGGGTGGTTTTGGTTGTAGATAAGGATTTTGAGTTCACTTCCTTGAGGTAAATATTTCCTAGCAGTTGTCAGTGCTTCCTGTTTCTCCATCAAATGTACAGAACTTGCTGGGGCAATGCAGGGAGCAGTGAGATGAAAGGAAATCCAGGTCATGGGGTGGTGGATGGGGTTGGAGCTGATCCACGATGTTGTGACCCAGGTGTAATTTGGGATTGAAGGTGTGAGGGGGGTTGGTGACACAGGAACAGTGATACCGCGTTGGGCTCTCTCTGGTGCAGTTTGGCTCTTTGAAAATTTGCCCCAGGCAAGAGGTGTTTGGGGCTGGAATAGTGAACACAAGGAGTAAATATTTTATGTGTTATAAAATTGTAGAATCAAGCAGTAAATCAGTGAAGCCGGGACAGTGGCTTCTGTGGAGGTCTGCACTGCCCCTCCCGTGCCCTCCCCTGGCACAGAGCTGCTCCCTGGGATGGTGGGCCGAGGATCCTTTCCTCTGGGAGGGTAAGAGCAGCAGCAGCTTCCCCACGAGGTGTTCCTGTGTCCTACGTGCTTCCCTGGAGGCACGGAATGGTGATCCTGGAGCCAACCGGGCATCGTTCCGGCTCTGGAGGTGTCCAGCCCCGGCGCTCGCAGGGAGGGGCAGAAGTGCTGCTGCCAGTGAAGTGGAAATTCTGCCTCTTCTTCCCCGAGACACGAGGCCAAATGAGTTATTGTGGTTAATTATTCACAGTGCCTGGCTGGGGGGAGGGAGGGGGAGGGAAGGATGCATTTACTGCTGGAATATCCCTGCCCGTGGGATGCAGGGGGTGGAACGAGATGAGCTCCAGGTCCCTTCCAACCCAAACCATTCSAGGATCCCCAGAGCCTGTGAAACCYGTTCCCAGTGGGAAGGAGCACACCTTGGAGTGCCAGCAGGCATTCCCTGGAGCTGTTCTCTGCCTCTTCACGTCCGGGCTGGGAAGCAGCTCCCCGAGAGCAGGGTGTCAGCCAGGCTGGTCCCGCGGAGCTGCTCCGCACCCTCCTGAGCACTGGCTGCCCAAGGCTGCTCCTGCACGGAGCGCTGGCTCTGCCCTCCGCTTTTCTCTGCTAAGGCTGGAGGGGACAGGTGCCGGAGAATTTGGATCAGCTCCAAGCCTCATGCATTAAAACAAACTCCTCTGGCTGCTTATCAGCCCAGTGCTCCTCAAGTGCTGATTTRATAGAGGAGAGGCTTTTTAATGGAGATAAATACTTTGGGGAGCCTCTAAAGGCGCTTCCTCCCCCGTTTCCCTGGAATGTGAGGCTGCTGTAGCACCGGAAGGCTCTGGAGCCCTGGCTGGGGGCGCTGCCCAACCCCTCTGTCTGAGGGCTTTTCATTCTGTTCAATCCCTTGTGTTGAACCTCTGGGCTGGAGCTCTTCCCGCCGCTGCTGTTCCTGAGCTCTCCCCCCTATGTAGGTCACACTTCCACATTTTCTGCTTGAGCCGCTGTCTTGGAGCGCTTTCTCTTGGAAAAAAACCATCTCTGTCGAAACAGAGCTTTACTTCTGCTGTGGTGGCAGCGGTGTTTTCCCTTTGGTTAATCCTACTCTGGATGGGTTCARTGCTTGGGTGCTCTCAGCTTGGGCATTTTGGAGCTGGGATGGGATGGGATTGTTCCTCAGCCAGCTCCCTAAGCTTATTTTGAGGTTAAAATGTTGCATCCCCTGTGAGGAAGGGAAAAAATGGGCAGCCAGACCCACACAAAGAGGAGCTTCTCAGCTTATGGACAACTTCAGCAAACTGGMAGCCCCTCTTGGCTTTGAACCACCTCCAAGGTTCAACGGGGAAAAAAGCTTGGGAGACTCCGTGGTCCTGGAAGGAGGGAGCTTCCCCGTGAGCATCACTGGGAGATTTGGAGTTGTAGAATCCTGTGGTTTGGTTTGGAAGGGACCTTAAGGGTGATGGTAGTGCCACTCCTGCTGTGGGCAGGGGCACCTTCCACTGTCCCAGGGTGCTCCAAGCCCCACTGTCCAGCCTGGCCTTGGAACCTTCCAGGGATCCAGGAGCACACTTTGAGTTTATGAGGAAATGTCATTTTATAAACTAGGTTCAGTTTCTGTTCAGTGGTGATTTTAGCTCAGCTGGGGTTGATTTGCATAGAAAACATCTTTGAATCTTCGTGTCCCTCTGGGTTTGACAGCCTTTCCCTGAAGGAATTCTTGCCCAGTGCTGGAGTTTCACTTGAAGCCACTCAGTGTGTAGTAAAGTCTGATTCAGCTTCAGGTGTTTCAGAAGAGGGATTTTAATATTAATAACTTGGTTAGTGAGAGAGAATCTCGTAAGACTGTGGTGTTCAGGAATGGCTACATTGTTGAGGCTCCTGTCAGGTGGCTGCTCCCAGGCTGGGAATTTCTCAGCTCCCAGCTGTCCTGGGCCTCTCAAACACAGCTGTGTTGTTCCAGTTTTTATATTTTTATTCCCTAAATAACCTTAATTTTGTCAGTGAATAACACTCCTSGTAGCTGTGAATATCTTCTCCTGCTACAAAACCTCTGAGTCTTTAGGAGGTTGGAAGTGGATGATGTTTCCCAGTATCCCTGCCCTCTGGCAGTGGGAAGCCATTCCCTGTGTTCTGTCCCTCCATCCCTTGTCCCCAGTACCTCTCCAGCTCTCCTGCAGTCCCTTTAGCCCTGGAAGGGGCTCTGAGCTTTCCCTGGAGATTCTCCTCAGGAGTTAAGGGTGTTTGTGCCCAGGTGTTGACTCGATCCCAAATCCAGAGTTCATCCCATTCCTTTCCCCCGTGCCCGGGGCTGGGTGGAAGGAGCTGTTACAATCCCTGTCTCATTCTAATACTGTCCCTGCATGCAAGTGTGTTACAGGAAAGGGAATTGCTTTRTGCCGAGCCATCCCTCAAATGAGGTTTTAGAGCATCAGCCCCAGGCTGGAGGTGTCCAAGGCCGAGTGCAGCTGGAACAGGAAATCTCCAATGGAGCTGGTTTGTCAGGAAGAGCGTTGGAATCCTCCCTCACAGCAAAAACAGGGAATCACAGTAGAAATTCCAGTGCAGCCCAGTTTTAACTGTGTGATTTCAGTTCCCCACTCAAGTTATCCATGAGGCCTTGTGGCTGCTCCTTTCCAGCAAGTGCTCTTCCTTTGATTCCTTGTTACTCCRTTTGTTTCCCAGCACTTGGATCCATGGGATATCCTGGGAGGGGTTCACAGTGGGTTTGATTTCATTCCCTCCCACTTGCCCCTTGTGCCCATGTTCCCAGGAGATTCCCAGTGCCCCTGGCCTTGGCTGCAGGGGAGGGACTGTGTTGGCTTTGGGGGATGAGGAGGCATTTTCTGTCGGTTTGGAGCACGCACGGGGCCGCCGCTCTCACAAACTGCTTGCTGCTGGTTTTCCCCGCCGCCTCGAGGGTCTCACTCATGTCTCCCCCTCCTCCACAGGTCAGATGCCGGGCCCCGGCTCCATGATCCCGGGGCAGCCCCTGGCAGGCCGGATGATGCCGAGTGTGACAGCCAGCATGCAYCCCACCGGCGGGGCCGCCCCGCCCGGGATGTCCCCGATGTCGGGGAACCTCATCGGACCGCGCGTCCCGCTGGCAGCTCCCAACGGCCTGTGTAAGTGCACCTCCCTGGGCTGGTCCTGGGGGCTCCTCARCTCCATGGAAACGTCATGTTCCCCTCAGGAATAACAGGGTCTGTGCAGGCTGCCAGCCCCAGAGCGCTGCCAGGGATGAGCTGGAAGCTTAAAGTGCTCCTCAGCGCTCTGGGCATCCCAACACATCCCAYTGTCCTTTATTTTATTTATAACATCCGTTATTTTATTTATAATGATACAGAGGCTCAGTGGCGATGATCAAATCCTCTCCTGACTTAGTGGAGGGTCAGGAACTAACTGAATTCCTAAATAGTGGGGGTCAGGGAAGGATCCAGTTCAACAATTCCTTACTGAAAACTTGGCATCCTGGAATTGGAGCAAGGAAGTCTTGGTTAGGAAGGAGAAGATAAACCATGTAATGAACATTCCCAATATAAAATCTGCACCTCTAAAAATGAAGTTGATTTATGGCAGCCAAAAAAGCAGCTGGATCAGGAGCCACAGTGTGGGAGTTGCTTGAATGAGTGTGAGAGTGTGGCCAAGCCCAGAAGGCAGAAGACAAGCTGGCACAGGGAGGAATGACTGAGGAATTCTCCATAAGGAATTCCTCAATAAATTTGCCATTATTAATTGCAGCCTTAGCCCAGCTGCTGCTCAGAAATCTTCACCCCCAAAACTCTTGGTGTGGCTGTCACCGGACAGGCAGGAATCGTGATCCCTTGTAGAACCTCTCCCAAGAAATAATTGGGAAAAGCCTGTCTGGTTTGGCTTCAGCTGCAGGAACTGCTGCGAGCTCTGACTCACGGGCGTTCCCAGCCCCAGCGGGAAAACTCTGCCTGTGCTATTTTTGTTTGGGCATTACTCCTGTTCCTCTGCTCCCCCAGCTTTACTTAGTTTTCTGTCCTTTTTCCTAAGCCTTTACCACTGGGATTATCTTATGTCAGGTTGTATTGCTGTTTAGTCTCTTCCCTTCTCTTAATTTCTCCTTTTTTCCTCCCCTACTGAACAAGTCAGTCATGTTCCATTAGCATCTCCTCTCTGGGCACGAGGCTGGCCCTTTGTACCCCTCCTTCCTTCCCTCCTGCTCACTGCATTCCTCTGCTTTAACCTACATCCATCCTTCAGAGGGAGGAGCAGCCTCTGTTTATATCAAACCTATTGTTCCGTCTATTTGAAACAGAAAAGAGCCGTAATTTGGGCTTGAGCGCAGAGCTGGGAGGTGAGAGATGCCAATTCCAGCTCTGGAAGTTGCTTGGCATAGATCTGCCAGCTGCTGAGCCACATCCTCAGCACCTTGTCTGTAGAAATACGGGAATGTTTCCCTTTTTCACCGAGTCCATGTGGTGCTGGGTGGTGGAAAAGTGCATTAAAGGTGCACAGAACTTCAGGAGCTGCCATGAGACGGTCCTGGCGGGAATTCCCCTCAGACAGGCTCTCCCGTGGCCTGGAGACACCCAGGCACAGACGTTGTGTCCCTTCTCCATGTCCAGCCCCTCCTGCCATCCCTCTCTGTCCCCTCATGTCCCTCCCTGTCCCCTCACTGTCCCCCTYGTCTCCCCGCAGATCCTGGTCCGGCGCAGCCGCCGCCCCCCGCGGAAGGAGTGACGCCGCCTCCGGCCGGAGCCCCACCAGCCTCAGCCGCTCCCTAAGCAGCCAAGGAAGGAGGAAGGAACTTCCACAGCAACATAGTGGTGACCAAAAGAGAATTTCTCAGTTCCCTTCTGTTCCCCGGGGAGGTTTTCCCCTCCCCTCCCAGTCTCATGCGTGTGATTGGCACGACGACGTTCCCCGCTCCCCACCAGAGAACACACGGCAGAACTCGGCATTCCCTGGGGAAAGCTGGAGATTGGGATGCCAGGAGTGCCTCCATGTTGCTGGTGGGAAGTCCTTTACCCCTTGGCCTGCTTGCCTCGCAGAGCTCCATGCTGGTTTCCTTCCTCTTGGTGCTTTGAGCTCGGGCTCCTCTGGGAAGGGTGAAATAATCCAGGTTCCAGGACAGGAGCTGAGCTTTGGGCCGTGCCTGCTCCGGGCTCTCCGGAGAGAGCAGAGCACCGAGAGGAGATGCCAAACCAGTGCTTGGAGCAGAGCAGGAGGAGAGGGGCGTGCTGGGCGCAGGAATGGCAGCCGTGTCCAGAGGGATTCCTGGTGGCTACGGCCGCAGCTGCCCCGTAACTTATTACAGGAAATATTGATCCGTGTGAATGAAGCCGGGAGCGAATCAATCAGAATAAAACCACTCAATGGTAGGAGTTTTCTTGCTCCAGTTTTTACCTTCCCTTTGCCTTTGGAGGTGGTAGTTGGACCTTCCCTGAGTAGTTCGGTGCAGTAGCCAACTGAGGAATAACCCCCCATTTTTAGTCCCTCTTTTTGGAGCATATACTTTGTACTTTTTAAAATGAAGAAAAAAAAAAAAAAAAAAAAAAAAAAAAAGTAGATAGCGAAGAAGTGCTAGAATTTGGGATTGGGTTGGGATGGCTGGGATGGGAATGCCAGAACTACCTCCTGCAGACAGCCGGGGCGGCAGCGGAACGCAGCTGGGACAGCTCCTGTCACCCCCACTGCGGCTGGAGGGGTGGGGAAAGGCACAGCTTCAGCAGGCACATCTGGGAGCACTCCAGAGCTGCTGCTGCACCCCTCCAGGCTGCCAAAACTTGGGAAAAAGTCCTGCAAAAAGCCCGTCTTGTCTGTGTTCAGGTTCTCTGCCCTGATCCCGGCCGGAGGGCGTTTGGGGTTTCCCTGCCGAGGGTCTGGAGGCCCCTCCTTGATTTGAAGGGTGGCTTTTGGCCAGGTATGAGTTGAGGTTGGGCTGGGGAGAGGCTCCCACAAACTCTGGAACCTCCAGAACCACTTTCATCTTTAAAAATTAAGGATTTGCCAGGTCTTCCAGCACGACTCCACGGTGCCGCACAGAGAGCGGCCGGGGCCTTCCCATTCCCCTTCCCAAGGCTTCCTTCCCCTCCAGGGTCTTTGGGGTGAGCGTGGGATTTCTGGTGCAGCCCTTAGTCCAGTTTAGAGTAACCTCAGGTTGTTTTTAGTGTGAGCAATTCCAAGGATCCAGGTGGAGACTATTTTTTACTGTCCTAGTGCTGATCCCGCTGAGGACCTGGATCCKGGACACTGTTTTGTTTCTGTATAAATAATCCCTGTGCCCACTTTTTCACCTGATCTCTGTATAGGRCCGGTTTGATTCCTGCAGCAGCCACCCAATTTTGTGAAATAAAAGCAAAAAAAAGCGGTTTTGTACAAAGCCTGTGCAGTTTGTAGAGTCTCCTTTGCCTTTGTGTGCGGGAAGAGCTGGGAATTGTTGCTGTGATCCATGGCTCTTTGGGGCTGAACGTGAGCTCGAGGAATGAACACAAAACCTGAGCTTGGGGGAGACACCGAAGCCATGGGGGGAAGTGAAGACCCTTCCCACACTGGAAATGAGATGCTTTGGAAACTCTTAAGGGTTTCAAAGCTCATGGGAGCGGCTGCAGCACCGAAGCTCAGCAGCATCACTGCTTTCCCACAGGCTCTGGCCCCTGTTCCTGCTTGGGAATGCTGGAAGGGAGCTCTSACGTGGCAGCTTGGGCTGGGTGAGGCCTGGGGTCTGCCAGGTTGAGTCCCTGTGCTGCTCTTCCCTCTGATCCCGCCGGGATCCGGACGCTGCCAGGATTTGTCTTTTTGGTTGAACTGAAACCAGAATCCAGTCTGGATTATRTCCAGCCATCCCTCTGCTTTACCCAGCGAGAGCTTTAGCTTCAGGAGTGGCACCTCTTCCCAGGCATCCCATAAGGCCCCCAGTCCTTGATTCCCCAGGAGGCAAAARCCCAGGGTTGGAGCTGTGTCCCTGGGTCCAGGGCACACCATGAAAGCCCCATTCCCAACTGGAATTCCTCCTTGGATGGGCTGGGGTCTCCTGCTGAACGTCCTCTCTGGGCTCCTGAGTGCTGCTCCCCTCAGGGGTTGGGAAGGGGAGGGAAGGAGCTCTTGGGTCTTTGCATTGCAGTGAGGTTTGTCCCTGGGGGTGATGGCCTCCCTCCTCACCTGCAGCATGGACAGCAGAGGTCATTTTTCCTCCTCTCATCCTGAAGATCATTTTCCTGAGGGATGCATGGAAAGTGGTAAATCATGAATGTCAATTTTGGAAGTGTTTTCTTTTTACAGCCTTCAAAGTTTCGTGGTTACAGCAATTAAGGATGGGCTGGGCAGAGCTGGAGTGAGAGAGAGGAGAATGGATCTGCTTTGAGATCCCAGTTGTGGGAATGCTGGTGGGTGGGGGCTGGCCAGAACCCCCCCCATGCCCTGGGCTGATCCCAAGGGTGGGACACGTGATGATGGGGGGAATTCTGTCCCTCTCAGGTGAGCCCCCCACTGCAGAGCTGCCCCAGCCCTGGGGCCAACAGCACAAGGACCTGGAGCTGCTGCAGAGAGCCCAGAGGAGAACAGGGAGCTGCTCCCAGGGCTGGAGCCCTTCTGCTCTGCRAATTCATCCCTGTTCGCAGTTTATCCATGTGGGTGCGGTCAGCTGGAAGAGGGGTTTGGGACAGGGCTGAGTGCTCCAAAACCACTGTTAGGGTCATTTCAATCCAAGATGTCCTTAGGATAAAGGGAATTACCTGCTCAGGATGAGCCCTTCTGCCTGCTCCAGAAAATTCCCTGTCTCTCCCRCTAATGCAGCTGGGAGGGGTTTGCATCTTCATCCGAGTAATCGGATCCTGCTGGAGACGGGAGATGTGATCCGTAGGATTTTTCCCCAGCACCGTTGGCTGAGAGAGTGATGCGGGAGCAGAGCGGGAACAGGCGCCACCACCGCCYGTGACCGTCCCAAAAACACCCCAAAACTTCCCGTGTCCTGCCGGACACACCAATTCCACCCCGGGCTGCCTGGAAAGCTCCGGGTTTTTTTGTTTGTTGTTTTGGTGTTTTGGGTTTTGTGGGTTTTTTTTTTTGGTTTGTTTTTTGTTGGGTTTTTTTTGTGTGTGTGTCTTTTTCTGGTCGATTTAAAGCCCAAAATGCACCTTGGGGCACAGGGACAGTTTGGGGGGTGTCTGAGTGTGCGTTGTTGCCCCGATGCTGTTTCACCACYGTGCCTTTCACGAGAATCTTCCATGCAAAGCCTTTGGAAGCTGTGAGCTCCTTTTCTCGCTCCACAGGTTTTACAGGAACGAGCCCAGGGCTGACCCCGGCGCCCGGCCCTGGATAATCCCCCCAATCCCGGCAGGAGGAGATGCGCCCCAGACAAGGCTGGCAGGCGGCTCCGGGTGATCTGACAAGGGCTCGCCGGTGCCGGGGCCGTGCCGGGGCCAGACCTGCCCRGCTATCCCAGAGCACTGTCCCCCTTTGGCTGCAGCAGCTCCCGCCCGGCAGTTCCCCCTTTCACTGGAACCCCAGGACAGGTCACGGCACAGGGAGCCCTCGGGATGTCACCTGGAGGCTGCAACGAGAAACTGATGGRTGGTAATTGGGATTTTTTTCCCCCAAATCCTTAGTTTTCTTGCCTTTCTAAACTGCAGTGTGATTAAAACCACCAGGTGTCCATCAAAGCCAGCAGCCTTCAGGTGGGCTCCCAGAATTCCRGCCCTGGGATGGTCCCCACATGCCAGGACCGAGGTTGCCCATGCAGCTGTGTTACCCGTCTGAGTGACAAAGGCCTGGAGGCACTTCCAGGTTCAGGAATTGCGCCCAGTGGGACCTGAGGGACATCTCACTGAGCTCTTGTCCACATGCTGCTGGAGAGGCTCCAGCTCCCCACCGAGTCCCTTCCGTGGAATTCCCTGATTCCCTCCGGCTCCCACTGATCCAGAGCGGGTGGATCTCAGTGCCCTGCAGGTCTGGCTCTCTCTGCTGCTCCAGTTTCGGGTCCCCTCCTCCAGAGGCAGCAGAGCCGGAGCCCCAGGGGTGGTTACACGGCGGTGACCCAGCATGGGCAGACCGAGGTTCATGTTCATCGCTCCGGGCTCAGCCCTGCCATTCCCGAGCCCTTTTCCTTCATTCCAGGAGGTGAAGGGTCCCTTCGCTCCTTGTCCTGGCTGTGGAGCAGCTGCCTTGGTTCACTCACTTTCTCAGCAGTGAAAGCAAAGCCTTGGAGGTAAAAAGCTTTTCTGAAGGGCCTTTAGTGCCCTCTTGGCAAAATCACGAGCACTAAACGGGATTCTCCAGGCTGGAAGGAGCGAGGTGCAGAGCAGTGCTGGCACTGGCAGAGCCTTACCCCACTCAGGGACAGCTCGGTTTGTCACCTATGCATGCTGGCAGGCACAGAAGGTGCTGGGCACAGCTGGGATGTGTTCCTGGGCGCAGCTCCATCCTCAGGATGCAGCTCCCCGCCCGCTCCTCTCCCCACAGCTTGGCCTCACTTTCCTCGGGGTTTTCCTTGCTCTTGGCAGCTCAGAGCTGTGACAGGGGATTATGAACCCTCTCCCACCTTTTTCCCCCTCAGCCCTGGAGGAATGTGCCTCGGAAATGCCAGGGAGAGCACGAGCCGGGGGTTCTACCCCTCTGCTCGGACACCGGGACTCTGCCCCTGCCCGGGCCCGCTCTGTCTCTGCAGATCCAAATGCACCAGCCCCTGTGCAGGTCAGAGAGGGTTTTCTTGGGAAGATTCTGGCTCCGGTGCCACAGGACACGCAGAGGTTGTGGATCTGTGTATTTTTGTACCTCCACCATCCTTGCCGAAGCTGCTCCTGCCATCCCAAACACGGCTCCTGCTTCGAGGACTCTGAATTACAGCGGTTTTCGGATGAACCGGATGTCGGGAGCAGTTTGGCGTGTGCCTGATCCGGGGAGGGGGAATCTGTTCCCTGCTGAGAGGGGTTGGATGTTCTGGGCTGAGCACGGAGGAGGCTGAAGGTCGATGCGGCGGCGGCTCCTCCAGGGATCGGTGTCGCATCGGGATTCGTCACCTCGGAGCCAGCCCGGGCGGTGCCAGCCCCGATCAAGGACAAAGCTGTCCCTAAAAYGCCGCCCGGCTGAGCTGGGCTCGGCCCCAGACTCAGGCTCAACATCCAGGATGTGAGACAGGGAAGGGTTCACGTGTCTGAGGGGAGCGGTGCCCGAGCCAGGGYGTGAAACACCGACCTCAGTCCTGGCTCTTCGATTCAATTCTTCATTTTCTTTGCACTTTTCCAATACTTGTTAAGGAAAGAAAAATGGGTAAAAGGTGATTGGASCCTCTTCAGCACCTGGCTGAGGAGGGACGGAAAGGCAGCCGGGGGAGAGGCGATGGGAAGAACAGAGGGGATGGCTCCTGCCATCGGCTCCCCGATATCCTGCGGGGCTGGATGCCCGTGGGGATCATCGCTGGACACAGGGACGAGATGATTCCTGGTGCTCAGCTGATGAGGAAGGTGGGGATCCAAGCCCAGCCTGTGCCTGTCCTGTCCTCTGTCTGTCCATTCCCCTGGGATCCTGGATCACC